TGGTACAGTTCACTTCAACACGTTAAACTAGCCCTAGTAGAAGTAGATTGGATAGAAAGAAAAGGGTATTCAGAACAAAATCAGGCGTCAGTCTATGAAGTCTTTGACTGTTGGTCTGAAATGTGAAGGAGAATACAGACTTGCATTTTGAGGTCACGTAGCAACTCAAGTCGATTATTGAGGACTTTCAGTGAGTTGACTGAGTACTGAATGTTGAATCACATTTGGTCATCCACTCTACCTCCTGTTCTCCTCTTATTATGACTTCACATGATTGCTTACCACATTGTTTAAGTTTCGTCTTGTTATCTGGTATTTTGATTTGCTGATTAGAGTAGAGGTACCTTGAAAGTGTATACAGTTATACCAGTTTCTGTGATGATAATGACTAACTACCTGGTTCGGTTAACTCAATTAACACTTGGTGAGCAAATTTTTATCTGGATATAGGTTTATCAGAATTGTCTCCCTACTATCTGACATAAATATATTTGAATGTTAACACTGCGAAGAAACATGTTCTCTCCAAATATACTTTCTGCTACTTCCTATTGTTTACTGGAACCCATTAAATTCTCTGTCTAGTGAGTAACATGCCTTGTATATACTTATTATGGAGTATATCGTTCTATAACACTGAGAAGTGTAGAGTATGAATCCAATTTATGTATTTTTTTTATATATTCCACAAGAATTAATAAGACAACAAACGTGTGAATAATCTGTCAATGAGAATATCTTATCAGTTAATGAAGTAAATAAGATTTTCATTGGTCCTATAGACGGTGATAACGCTTTCACTTGAAGTATCTATAAGTAGTGAGATTTGCTAAATAATAAACCATAAAAAGTTATAATGAAACTAACGAAAACAAATTTTATGTTATGCGACAAAAGATAAAAAGACACAAACATCAGCTAACACCGTTATTTCGTATTCATCAACAATAAATATTTGTAGAATAATGGGATTAAAACTCTATTCATTATCTGCACTGCTGCTTTGACCTACTGATGAGTTTAAATCATAGATAGATAGTGGATATGTCCGATCGTCTTTCAACTATCAACTGCAATTTATCAAGCAGAGTAGCATCTAGATTAACGCCAAAATAGATGAACAATATATCACTTCGAAATATTATAGAGACGTCACATCAGTCTATGAACATTTTGGTGGGAATAATAAAGAGTGAACTGGATCCATAGGTTGAATCTAAAGCAAAGAGAACGAAATTATGGTATACGATTATTGACATTGTCAGTCTATAGGTGTACTGAAACGAGTACATAGATTCTAGGTAATTCCTAAATATACCATAAAATTAACAAAGTATTAGCATTTATAAAGTAGTATTCGTCACCGACCAACATCAGTTGCAGAACCATTGAAAATCTGGGAGCACTGGATAGCAGTACACAGTCACCCAGGACTGCAGAGGAGTCCCATACTTGAAGGAAACAGCTGTCCAGTTATCCAAATTTATAAACTATTACTCAACTTATGTCAGTCCGTGATGAATACTACCTCCAAAATGGAATTTTCACAAACATGAGACTATATTATAGTCGTTTATATCTGTAATAAAAAAATTCTGGGGACATCTGAGGTCACTTGATGGTTTTTGTTAAGATGTATTAGATGCCATACACTGCCTTTCTTCACTTCACAAACATCATTTTCTTATTCAGTAATGTGATTCCTTCATGCAGTGATCTTAAGCTTCTATTGTAAGTGAAAATGGTTTCTAGGTTGTAGGTGAGAACGTGTTTGAGGTCAAACCACACCTATAGTTCAAAATAATTGACTTGAAATCCACTTAGTGACAAATAACAGTGTACTAATACTAATCAAATTTCTATTACTATTTTCTGTGCTGAATGAACCCAAAATGATACTTTTGTATACCACTGCTTTCTTATGACTGTAACAGAAGTTTCGTCTGATAAAAAAACATTGGAACTTGTAAATGTGAAAATTACTATAAAACAACAATGAGAAAAGTTATGCAAGAAAGTGTACGTGCATTCAAAAATTTCTACTAACTCCTTTCTATTTTTTAAACCATCTTTGCATAAATATCTCACGCAGTCAATGTAAATGATCGAAAATTTTCTCTGAAAAAATCGATCCGACTGTAAAGACAGTTCCATTATATACACATATCAAGAACAAATTCATTTTTCTGAAAGGTAAACAAGTAACTATTTATAAGTTTATACAATCCAGGGTTTTTCATACAAGGCGATAACTGCTTTCAAAAGTTAAGTATTAGAACAGCTAATTCGAAAAATTGATCGACTTTATCTAACCAGTCCTTTCCATCATTATAAAAGTGCCCTTGATGGAACACGTTGGCAAACAAACATGTATGATACAACATGATGACAAACGTGCAGAATTGAAAAGTGATCCCATTGGCTGCTGCCTGTAGTTTACTCTTATCGAAACAAAAGACAACTTCTGTCTTGACTTCTTTCACACCACCTTCATCTCTTTATACCACTCTTTTCCTCATCTCACTTCAGCCCCATTGTCTTGATTTATAGAGATAAAGACAATATTATTTGGCACGAAGACTGTACTGCTTTTATTTGATGATGAGGGAGTCTGAAGCAAAGAGTAATGAGTTTCTGAAATAAGTGATCAGCTGAATGATCTAAAGTTTGGTTACGGATATTTGAATCAACGGGATGAGTTATTTTTGTTACTATTGTATTCGTTTTTCAGCTCTTCTCTTACTTTCTGATATCCAGTAAACTTTAAGAACAACAGTTTCACCCCACCCTGATCATTTGGATGCAATCCACCATTTCCAGTAAATTAGTTGGATTCGTTTGTTGTGCAATGTTATGTTAAATTCTACCCAACTACTTTCTTTTGTACAGGTAATTACAATAGGGATCGTATATTATCTTGCACCTTCAGATTGAATCTGGTTTGTGTGAATGTCGTATAAGACTTTGTGATTTCAGACCATCATTTTCACAGAGGCTGGCATGCGAATAGGATAGCAAATTGTCTAAAGTATTTCTAGCCTAATGTCATTCATATGTTCATAGAGCCGTACGTTGCTTAACTTTCCTCGATTGAAGAGTTAAAAGGGAATTACTCAATGCAAAGTGATTGTTCAATGGGTTGTAGTGCACACTTTCTCCAGTGTATCAGCGTCTATTGCTCGTTGTGATGTTTTAAGTCGTGATATACTGAACTGTAAGCTGTACTTGTGTGTTTTTGAGCTAAAAGTGGCACTTACCTGATCCAAAACTGCAAACAGACGAGTCTGTTCCCTCCACATGGAAGTCCTGTTGAGTTGAGTCAACCAGAAACCAGTGAGAAATAATGTTATCACTTCCAAGTGTTTTTGAGGCAGACTGAGCATTTCTGAGAGGAACATGAGAAGAACGCATATTGACGGATGCTACAGTATGGAATACAGGATAGACAAGTTGTGAATATTAAATAAAATTTTCCAATCCTTCTTTCCTGTTTCGGATAAACGTCGACTAACCCAATACTTTTGTACATCGTGTTCCATCATTACGTTTGAATTCTCGTGAATTATCAGTATATATTTCGTCTATTAACATTGTTGCTATCCTCTATGATATCTCAACTTCGAAGTTAACAGAATTTCTCCTCGTGTTTTTGATTACATTATTTCTGTCTGGATATTTCATCGTCCAGGCCTTTGCAAATTTTTCTGTCACTGCTGGAAGTTGTGTGAATGCTCTGTGAATAATTCAAGTGTATTACCTCAAACCGTTGTCTTTTTATATATCGTCTGCCACTTGAAAATATTTTAAGGTCAAAGTTTCCTCATTCATGCAATTCATAGTTTACTCTTTTAAACTACTATCTACTTACAGTAACATTCCACATGTAGAAGTGCCATTATACTAAGAAATTAAGGAATAAGTTATTAGAATGACTTAAAACCGGTGAAAATCTTTTGGTATACTACTTAATGTATCTATATCCCTCTATAAAGCAGTAGAGAGGTGATGCCTTCTCTAAGATTTAAACCCGCGTCACCAAGTTTTGTGGTCAACAACAATAACACTGAGCTATTCAAGTCACTACTAACCTCCTATTGGACTGCATTAAATGCATTGACTGGTCACTGGAAAGAAACCAATCTCATGTTTTCTAGTCTTAAATGCTCACTAAATTCCATCGATTGTTTTGTAATGTGGCTACCAAGCTAGGAGGTTCACCATCGCAGTGGTAATGTCGCTGATAACAACACTGATTGACGCAGATTCAAATCTCAAGGAAGGCAGTACTTCCCACGAGGTTTCAGAAACCCCAGCCAACTAACAGTCAAGACTTTGGCCTGCTGATGCGTCTCTTAAAGCATTTCGTAGAACACCAGGTCATTAATAGGCACACGGCTGTTTTGAACACTCCCTTGATCGGAGCTTTCACGTCATCTCCACTCATCACACCGTACAACAATTATAATTCTTTGCTCGCCTAAAGACTTGGCGGATAATGTGTTTAGTCTGTTTCATCTTAAATGTTCATGAAAGCACAGGTGCATCAGATATCTTTAAACAAATTTCAACTTTTGATGCATGTTCATGATTTTTCATGTATATTTTATCAACACCTTTGAAAAGTATTTTGCATCATAAGTATTAGTAACTGGGTTTAGCAGCTGAAGTCACGTATTGGTTATCGGAAAGTAGTAGATATATGGTGTATTTTTAAACACTCAATGATGATCTGATTTATTTGTTTGAGACCAAAAAACAGTAGCAAAAGATTAACTTAATATCGAATAACAAATATCAAGCTATTGAGTGGTTTTAGATGATGCCAATAACCTGTAACTGCTAATTCTATCAACATTAACTGTTAGTATAGAAGTTAAACACTAGTAAACATCATTTCCCTAGTTTTACCTTTTACTCTACTTTGAAAGAGTAGAACTTAACTGCGAAAATCCCATATGAAGTTTACTTTCTCAAGTTTTTCTTATTCTTCTGATAACTAGGTGCTGGTGGACAAGCTAAAGTCACGGCTTCTGAAACACTAGAGGAACTTGAATGGTGCTTGGAAAGGTTAGAAAACATTCAAACTCATCGATCTGTCAGTGATATGGCATCAAGTAAAGTAAGCCATTTCCTTGATACGGAGGATAGTGGTTCCCAAGTTTCACTATTGTACATTTATATATGACATATTTACATCATTATTTTATTGTGTAATCAAATATTTACAGTGAATATTCACGTATACTTTTAAGTTCTAGTTCACATCAGAAGACAAGGATTCCGTGCTTCATTCCTCTCAAGTCTACTGTACGGGTGTGGAATATAGCCCTTGAAAGTATGACATATGGAAAGTTACAAAACCGTTTCATGGATGTCTTCGTGGCATTGTTTACTTATATTGAAACCACCGTTTGAGCAATGCGGGGTCAAGTTAATGAAGAATATCATTCGAATGGTCAGAGTGAACCCTCATATTTCCCACCTAATAAGAGAGAGACTTTCAGACACCTAAACAGAAAGCAGAAATCATGAAACAGTACCAACTAGAGCGTTTCTTACAGTCAGTGAAAATAGTGTCAATACAAATACACTGAAATCGACGATGACCATTACATACCGACCCAATAATCTAAACGTAAGAGCTGTCAAAAGGAGGAATAGGTCCAGCGGATTTGACCTTGAGATTTCAACGGGATCTCAGTTGTCAGGTATTCGTTAAGTTGAAAAATTATTTAATAGCATTCCTGCATTACAAATGCTCTTCATCTGTCCTTGTTTGATTAACTCGATGTAAGCGTAGACTACATGATTAGAATCGTTGTAGTGCTAGGAATCATTAATTAGCTTTTTTAGATAGACAGCATGATTCATAATGTATTGCAAAGGAAAATTAGCTTTGAGTGTTGATCTTTCTTGAACCCTTTAATATATCTTACTACTTAGTAATGGTTGATCTTCTCCCTATACATGTCCATCTAGTTCATTTTTATTCCTTTCTCCTTTTGCTGATCTAGACCTTTTAGGAGTGTTTGTTGGCTTCATAAACTAGTGCATTTTTTTCTGAATTTCGCATCATTCGATCACCTATTCCTTCTTAAAAAGTCAGCGAATTTTCAGGTAAACCTGATTTTATTAGACGAAAACAAAATAGACAGTTGTCGTCTTATTTAACTACTCTTCAATTTACTGTCTGCTTTTTATCACTTAGCATTATTGTGTTTCATAAAATCTGAGAAAATGGCTAAATGATAACTGATATTGTGATGTTTGAGATGTAAGTTACAGTTGTATCATCGAATCGTTTGTTATCCTGTGTAACAGTGTGAAAATAAATGGACCTTATGACTTAGCAACCTAGAGAACAATGGTCTGGTGTTTGGGGTGATGTGTTCTCAGTCCCAATTATAGAGGCAACAGAATCACTCAGCGGAAGCCAGGTACATCCAGCTGACAAATGCCAAGCAGAACAAGACATGCGTCTTGGATTCATCTGCTAACTACTGATCCTCATTACTCTGAACACAAATGTATTAAGTGAAAGTAGGAAAAATTATTTTATTCTTTATGTTCATCAATCAATAAAACGATTATAACCTCCAGTTTTAATGTTTCTTTTTTATAGTTTAAGAAAATGTTAAATAAAGAACTAAGTCAATTTGCTGATGGTGGTCAAAGTGGCAAGCAAATATCAGAATATATCTGTTCAACATTTTTAGACTCTAAAGAAAATGATTCTTTGACAAGTCCACCATCATTGGTAACAAATATTCCACATAGTAATACTCATGGTGTGATGTGTAGCAGCCTAAGTAGAGATGGTATATATAGTAACAATTACAAGTCTGAAACAAACACATGCTCACCCTCAAGTGTAATGAACAAATCAGACTCATGTGGTACACATGCGATAAGATCTAGTGATACCGGTCACGTAGTAACAACAGTAAGTGCACTTTCAAATATTGTGAATAAAACTACTAATGATAGTACAACGGTAGTATGTAGTATCACTACAATTGGTGAAAGCAGTACAATCACCAGCACAACAACAATTGTTTCAAAGATTGGCTCAATCCCAATGATTAAATCATTTACTCCGTTTTATTCATCAACACTAACATCCTCTGTGACACCACAGTCTATCAGTATGAATATGAATGAAAACAATAATACTTGTGATGGTGTTTGCGATGGCGGTAACAAGGAAGGCGGTAGCAAAACAGCTCAGTCTGGTAATTTCGATGGAAGTAATTCCTCTACTATTGTGACCCCTTCTCCGTGCGCATCTGTGCATCATAATCACCCTCATCACCCTCTTAATGATAGTGATAAAAACACTTCTTTGAGTAATACACAAACACAAATTGTACCATATATTATGAACTCAACAAATCCAGATAGACTTGAAGAAGTAAGTTATTCTATTTAACTTATTTTAAGTTGGTTCTTCACTTTTTTATATATTGAACTACATGTTTATTTGTTTGTTCTACATAGAGAAGAAAATAGTTTCCATACAAGCGACGCTTTCAGCCATCATCTAGCTAAAAGCTGAACATATTTCACGTTTTTTCAGTTAGATGCCGTTTCATCATTTTAACAATGGAATAACTGACCTGGTGAAACTACTTGACCAGTAAAGAGTATCTTACCTTCATTTTCATTTGTCAAACAGTTACCTTACTTATAACTCAATGTCTTAACTGTCCCGTCTTGTTAGAAATACACTAGGGGAAAATTATTTCAGATAGCGAATTTATCATAAGATTTTTTCAATTGACAATAAAACCCTGATCTGATTACCGTTTCATCCATTATGTGAACATTTAGCTAGTTTCATAGAGATAACTCATATTTATAAGAATCCGGTAGTAAAATGATTGGCTTGCTGTAATACTTGAATAATTTCTAGTACACCTCAAACAAATAAAAGTTAATCACCAGACAGAAAGCTATTTCATTCACTGGAATTTAATGGCTATCGAATTTCATCAATTACGCTACTTCGTACAGCTGTCAGTTTGAAGAACAAAAATTCGAAGCGTTACATGATCGATTTAGAACTATTCACTTCTAATATTCTGGTAGTAACTTCTGAAAGTGGATTCCTGAAAAATAAATGTTTCCGTAGTATAATAATTATGAATATCTTCAAAAGGACAGACACATCTCGTTACTTCTGCTTGGTTGAAAGTCTTCGGGAAACAGCCCTGGTTGATCTAAGTTTCGTGATTGTTAGCGTTTGTCATCGAGGTTTATCTGAAACTTGAAGGAATCTGTTGTTCCGTAATGCATTTAAATTCTCATCAACAGGTGCTGAAAATGATCGGTGGTATTCTGTCAGCAATTTGAATTAATGAGACAGCATGATATTGGTTACTGTCTAGCGACCAACTAGCCAGTTAACTGACTCAGTGCATATACTTTGCTAGTAATAGTATAAAAATCTTTGCGCAGAATTTTCCATTGATCTCTCTAAAGATTTAATATATTAAATAGTAATGATAGTAATAAGGAATACTGTAGGCAAAATGCAGCTTAACAATCATTCAAAATGATAACAAAATGTTAGGTTTTTTATGCTGTGTCACCGGATGAATTAACCAATCTTTGTGAAAAAAAACCTTTCAGTAGTAATGCTTAATTTCACACTGATACTAATACTAATCAGTAGAATTATCCATGTTACATTGTGATTGATATCACTTTTTGTAAAATAACCACTGAAAAAACAGGGAAACAATACACATAAACATATTGATTTCAGCGTGTACATATGTACAAGAAGTAATCCCATATTTATACTAGCATAAAACTCACTTGATACATAGTTAGTCTTGCACATTTATCAACCGAAACTGCCTGCGTAATTTTGCTCTTAATTGTTTATCTACTCCGTTGTATTGGTCTGTATTCATTTGTCACTCTTTTTCCTGAATTCATTAGTTATCGCCTATATTGTATCTCCCTCATATTTCAATTTCTTTTAAACCATACAGCAAGTAAGTTAACTGTATACATGACATTTTGCCAAAGTCAGTGTTCAAGTTTACTTAGTGCTACCAGTTAGGAAGCCTAGGAATTCTAAAGCTTCTTATTGACTAATTCTTAGTTTAGTTATTACATACTTGGAATAGAAATATTATGATAGTGAATAGAGAGACATAAAAACTTTCTATTCAACCTTGATGTTTATACGAAACACTATCTACAGAAACCTAGTGATGATCTTGGTGCATGCAATAAACAGTTCCAATAATTCATAATTACCGACTGAACCACACCAGAGTGATAATTATTCATAATAAATAAGCTTTTACACACTCAATGGGATTTTATTGTTATTCTACATGCTACTACAAGTAGTTAATCTATCTAAATGTGCAACAACTTCTTTATAGGTACTATTCACTGATAGGAAGTAAATTTTTAATCATCCTATTTCAACATACAATGAAATTTAATTCCCTTATTCACCTATCTTAATCTATTCTGTCGTCTTATTTTCATCGTGACTACCATTATCAGTACTTCTACCTAGCTTATTGCAAGAGTACAATTTAAAACTAATTTCTAATCAGTAACTTTATTAACTTCTTCGAAACGTTTCACTATCTAACATACCCAATAAAACATTATGGTCCTTAAATAAAAAGGTACTGCATTTCAGGATATTACAATACTGCTGAATTTTTAGACGAACCTCACAATATGCGTACAAATTGATCTAAGTCACCAGCTTACAACTGTAAGGAAATCTCACTTTAGCGAATCCAAAGCAGAACGAAACGTGTGTCCTAGATTCCACTGCTGGTGAAGATCCATCATAAATAAATTATTCTTAAACAAGAAAGAATAGTATTGGTTGCTTTTTGTCTCATATCACTAAATAATTCGATAAATACGGAACTATCCTTTTCCTTTTTAAGGATAGAGATGCATTAATTCTTACAAGAAAAAATCTAATGATTCTTTATTATCTACTTCTGAGAATTAATCATCCAGTGAAATGACTGACTGAAAATGAAATTCCTGAAGCCAGTCAACCTTGATGGCGATTTCTTTTTTCTCACCATAAGATAAATAGATTCGCTCAAATTTATTCATATTAACGAAGGTTTTATTTTCTTTATTATTCTAGCTATTGCAAAATTCTCTTGACCAATGGGGAATTGATATTTTTGAAGTGGATCGGTTGACCACAAATCCTCTCACATGTATATTTTACAATATTGTACAGGTAAATTTCAACATAAGAAAATAGTTTACTCAGTATTTTTCCCCTCATTTTCATGCATTTAGTTCGTTATCTGTTAACTGCACAATAATCTGACTAGAACTTTTCTTCATAGATAAACTGTATCCCATGTTGTCGAACAGTGGTAGGGTGAAATTGAATAGTTCCGCAGTTAATCTGTAAAACTAGATAGGAGGGTGACAAGCTGGAACTGTTCATATGCATTACCTTGATGCACAACACACTGGTTGTTGGAGAATGCCTACGGAATAATGACTTTCAGCTTTCTTTAAGTATCCCGTAATACTTGTCCTTTATCTACCCAATCTATGTTACATTCAACCATCCACATCAATATTCTCTATGAAGTGTACGTAAAACGTTAACGAGTACGTTGTAGCTTCACTCAAATACTGCTCACTAACGTGCGCAGCTACATTTTGGTTAATTGAAAAGGAATTTATTTCAAATGACCAGAACTCAAAAACAATCTCTTTTTAACCAGCTTTTGTGAACAAGTTAGTGGTTGACGCCGTGGTTATAGTAGTAGTAGTAGTAGTAGTAGTAGTAGTAGTAGTAGTAGTAGTAGTAGTAGTAGTAGTAGTAGTAGTAGTAGTAGTAGTAGTAATATGAATATTGGTGATGGCAGTATCATCACCAATATTTCTCATTAACTCACACAATTGGGATTCATACTTTTTCACATTTGAACAAATTAAACCTGACGCATTTAAAATACCTTAATGTGCTGGATTACTTTTAGCTTAAATTGAACTAATGAGTAAAGTAATAATTTCAGAAAACAAAGGACTAAATGTAATAAATGCTTGTAAATTATATGGAAGATAATTTCATATTATTATTGGTACAAAAAAGTTAATTAGCACTGAATCACTATTACACATTCGGTGAAAAATGCTCACTTAAACTGTAAGAAGCATGTACACAATAATTCTGCATGCATAAGTTTGGTTCCATTCTTATAAATTCATTTCACTCTCTAATGCTTTAAATATAAAAAAAAGTCGTAAGAAGTATGCCAACTGTTTGAATTACAGATTGGTGATTTAAATTATATACAAGAATTCCGATTTATCAATAACATAAAAGAAAAGCAACAGAGATGAAAATAAAATGGATCCATTTTATTTTGATGGCATCTTGTTAACTGCTTACAATCAAGAATACCAAAATACATAGTTTTGTGGGGAATTTAACATAATTTATTTATTTTACTGAAAGAAAAAATATGTGTTGGAGGTTAGGATGGACAGAAATTGTCATAAAGTAAAAGTCAATCTTAAGGGCAAATTCAAGGAAGGTTAATAAATAGTAATAAATTGTCATTGTAAATAGTTTGACATTTATGGGAATTTTATCTTTTAGGTTGTATTCATCACAGATTGATATCAATCGAGGGACTAATGGAGTTCAGTGGTCCACAGTCTCCCACTTCTATCATTTTGCGATATAGCGTGACTATCCACAAGAGTTTTCGGCTCTCATCCGCTTCGCTTTCCACTGGTTGACCCCACAGGTCACGGTTTCTCGTTAGACCTACAGCATATCCATTTTGAAGCACTGGGCTGATTAGCACTGTACAGTAATGTGGTTTGAGGCATACAGGGATTTTTATATATATGACTGAATAGAAGTTTCTCCAACAAAAACAGAGATATAAATATAAGGCAAACTAGAGGGACTTAGCACTACAAGATTACGTAGGTCGAAAGACAGATAAGCTACTCAACAAACCATACAAAAAATCTTGAGTTAAGCTCACTTAGTTGAAAACGTTCCATCTGAAAATCATGAAACTGAATAATAGTGAAGGAATGAACACCTAAAGCTGATAAAGAGTGCTGTAATTAAATAATACTCAAGAAAAGTTACCAAGGTAGACAGAGTTTGACTATATCTTCTTTTTGAACACGCAAATCAGGTTTGAGGCGTATGATGACTTAGGCCTTAGGATAACTGGACTTGTCTGTTTGCATATTCTGTTGACAGAATTTAGGACGTCTGCTGGATGTCCAGTATCCATCAGATGCTGAGTAATTGTTATGTTCGGTTTTACTTCCCCTTAACCGTGGGCTCTTCGGAATGTAATCAGAAAATCTGTCCTTCCAGTATATCTGCTTTGGCAGCTGCACGTGAACCAATATGCATAGTTGTATGTAACATAGGAGGAGTGACTATTGACTTGTGAGTTGACTAATGATTTAATTGTTTGATATACAGGAATTCACTTGACTGCAAGGAAAGTTCTAGTGAGTGATGTCTCCAATCATCTGCCGGTAGTTTTTTCAATGTCATTACCTTTGAAATTGGTGCGAATGAATACAGGCTTTCTGCTGACTGTTGCTTTCTTCGATATCTTTGCTGCAGTTTGTCCATATCTGCTGATAAATGCATTTAGATATTCATTGTCTTATAGACATCTTCCAACTGTTCGAAACTCTTCCTTCGCTGTATTACTGAAGCATATCATTTTGACTCTGTAAAATAGGGTTTTAGCTAATCCCCATCTGCATAGTTAATGGGAATAAAACATTCAAACTCAAGTAGGCACCATTAAAAGTGCTGTTTCAGTAAATGGACCATAGAAGTTAACCATCCACAAAACGGAACTTTCTATCTTTTTCGTATTCCATAATAAGCTGAATATTGTTAATAGCGGTATTAACACGTTCTAATAAATGCGATGCATGAATTGTATCACTACAAACACTGAAAGTATCGTCGATGTACCTGGTGCAAACTGTTGCTTCGTCGATTGCATCTTTAAGTTTAGCATTCTTTAGATTAACCACGAAGATATCCACTAATATGTGACCTGGTGAGTTCCCCGTGGGTGGTACGGTTTGTTGTGAAACGGGAACTGAACATCATTGGTACAGACTAGAAGGTGTTTGAACTCTTTTTCTGGTATGCTGGAATATGATATCTATGGTTTTCTAAGGAAATATGTTTGTGTATACGAAAGCCATATCAAAAGATACCATGAACTTTGAAACATCAATATGACTAGAGTCTTTAGTAGAATGAAAGAAGTCTTTATAGGTGTATGCAAGTAAACGTCGATGAACTGGTTCCAACTTCTCAGCCATCCAACAGGTCACTTGGAGATAAAGTGAGTTAACCGTCGACAGAACTGTTGTATATGGGGTACTCTGCTTGCATTACTTGGCAATCCATAAATACAGATTGGACGAGACCCTCCGAGTCCCATGCCATATAGAACTGTCAATCAATTGCTTTGCCAGAGGTTTTTTCGACCTGTTTGTGATTCACCTTTCTGCTGCATCGGTCAAGTCTAAGTGATAGTTATCAACTTCGAAGTTCAGTAGATCTTGAAGAATCAAGTTCATCTTAACGATATAACCATCTTCATTCATTATCACAAAGCCTAAACCTTCATCTGGCTTCAATAATACTGCTGATTGTTATCCTTTAGACTTTTTAGCTCTACCTGGTGTTCTTTTGACAAAATTCTCCACAAAGAAGTTGACGGAACAAGATGCTATTTAACAATATCATTTAATTTAGCTTTGAATCTACCCTTCCTATCCTCACTCATTGCACTTAAATCTCCCAGTCGGTTGAATAAATTCACAAGCTGGGCCTGTGTACCAATTTCATCAGTGGATTTCTCTGGGGCATGAAACTTGAATCCTAGTGACAGTGCTTAAAATTCCATTTGATTCAGCTTTATATTGGATAGGTTATGAATATCTTGGGTGAAGTTTTCTGGAAATTCTCTATGCAGCTGCTCTCTCATTGAAGTCTTTGACAAGATCTTATGAGAGTTCTTACAAGTCTTGTTTTGAAGATCCCGCATGAATATGGAGAATTATATCCAGCATACAATACTCAAGTCACTGACTACCTTCTCAAAACGACTGGCTTCAGTCCGTAACTATCCCATCACTGATTTCAATGAATCAGCGTGAATTTTTGTTATGGATCGTAGTGTGTTTTTGATATTAATTTACTCTTTGATCATTCAAACACTCTCACAATGACAATTTAGATAAAGGACATTTTTTGAAAATAAGAACAGCTGGTTGTTTACAGAAAAGAACTTGTCATATTTCGCATGATTTCCTATGAACTTTATTGTTCAATCTGCAGGTTATATAACTCCCAAATACACCCACTCAATGAGCATAAAAGTCTAAACAATGTTTATCAGTATTTCTCATGTAACTAGGTGGCTACCTAAGGGGTATCAAGAGACCAGACAACTTTGACTGTAATCAGTTATTTCTAGTATTACCATTTGAAAAGTACTTTTTGAAAATCAAACTGCACACTTACTAAACACTTACTTAAGCTTAAGAAGGAAATTCTCCAAGATACGATACCAAAAACGCATCAAATATCCATAACTTGTCGAGCAGTCCCTTAACATTTCAAAGCATGGTGATTTTAGTTAATCAGTAGTTATTTGCTTATTGTAACAAGAGTTATCACTGTATAAAGTACTGTTGTCTTCTTTATTTCAGAAACGAAATCTTTTACAACAATTTGCTATACCTGAACGTAATTTAATTTTATATATGAATGCTGTAGAAGAAAAGTACAACGATAATCCGTATCATAATCGTATCCATGCAGCTGATGTTGTCCAGTCAACGCATATCTTATTAAATGCACAGTCATTAGAGGTGAGTAGTTGTTAGTGTTGTGTCACCAGTCTCTAAATTTCAATCTGTCAATATTCAGTACCTGTAAAAAGTGTATTTGTGTTGGTATATAGTATTACTCTACGGGTTCCGTATTGAAGCCGAAAATCCCTGAAAACCTCTCCCCTGGCTCAATACATTTGAATGCTTCAACATTTATGGTTATATGTATCAACAATAGAAGATATATATATATATATATACCATCATATTTTTGTACCCAGTTTACGTGTCAATATAGTTTGTGCCATCATATTGTAACCTGCTTCGTAGCTAGTAGTGGGATCCAGGATGCGCATTTCGTCCCTTTTCAGGACTCGTCAGCTGGATGTGTGTCCACTTCAGTAAGTGATGTTGTTCCTACTGATACCCGAACTCAGTACCCATAGCTTCAAACGCCAAAAGGTTATCCACTAGGCTATAGGGGCGTGTTGGCCACCTCTCGTCCAAAAAGAAGTCAGTTGTTATTTACTAATGTTTGTAATTTCCCGTTCTTATGGGGGATCATATTGCTTGACCTTATTTCATTGTATTAACTCTTCTGTTTTTGAGGGATTGAGCAACTAGTAAGAATTAGATCAAAATGTTATTGGTCATTTTTTGGTATAAATATCACCACTTGGTGTTGTACTTGCTTTTTTAAGATTTAGTCTCTAAAATTAGGGTTTTCCTGATTCTCACGCTTAAGCTGCAAGTAGATTCAACGAAAGGGTTCATAGAAACAGTTAACAAATGTAGATAACACAACCAAGGCTGGTATCGTGATTTCAAGTTAATGAATATTATGGCTTCTCTACGTATTTCCTTGTCTCAAAATCTTGTAGGACTTGCAGGTTATCTGGGAGATTTTGGCAGTATTTCGGCTTATGTTGCCAACTGGAAGAATTTTATTGGTGAACATTAAACCAGTCAGTATTGTTTATCGATATACTTGTAATTCTCCGTTGTTCTATTGGATCGAATTATTCGGCCCCGGATTCCTCTGCTGGCCACAACCAAGCAAATTACCTTAATCAGTATTGTTTCACAATCTGAGAAAAGAAAATATTTAGGTTTAATCCAGCTGAAAGGAACACTATCTAATCGTTTTCTGAAGACATAAACATTTAGGCTGCACTGTTATTGGCATGGTCACACTGTCACGGTTATATCATGTCAACTGCAAAGCTGTCCGAATTAGTACCGGAAACTGAACTACTTTTGCTTATTTCAGTAGTATAAGTTTATGTCCAGAAAAACGGAAGGGGTCAAATAACATGTTACTCTTTTTCAATGCAAAAGAACTTCAAGTTTTAATTGTTTGCCTCACTTGTAACTGGAGAGACCTTGTTTTTCCAGTTGGTAAATTTAGGTTTCAATCAGGTGGCTTAAAATTAATAAGGTTGCAAAGAAGGTGAGGAGTTCAGCGAAGATATTTTTCGATAACTTCATCCCCTGTATTTGTACAATTATAATCTAAACATTTCAGTCTACACTGTTCTATGAATACAAGTATTGTTTTCTGATTCGAGGCATGACATGAAGAAGAGTCCAATGACATGAAAGGAGAGAATTAACCGTAACGCAGCAAAGAAATTAAGACTATTGGCATACTTCAATATATTTTCAATGATTGTTGAGTATGACGCTAAAACCTTTTTGAATCCATATTATTACTTCATCTTTCCATCACCTGAACTCTTAATCAAGTTAAATATCTCTGCTACTGACAAACATATCACTATTTCTGTTGTTTCCTTTTCATATCCATATTTATTTCATTTCAATGGGCAACCGGAATTCCATACTGTTATTACACACATTTGTGCGTCAATCTTCAGTCTGTCTTCACAGATTTAGAAATTTTTACAGTTTTATTTGCCTGCGCTATTCATGATGTTGGTCATCCAGGTGTTACAAATCAGTATTTAATTAATACCAGTAAGTTTTTTTGGTTCATGCAAGTTTACAAAGTGTAAACTGTTGAATACTTGTTCTATTTTTTATATCATGAACTCTGTTTAAAAAAATAACGGTGAATAGAGTAGTCTATTTCGTGACGTATCTACCTCTGAATTCCGTAAATGTATTTTTGACTCTACAAACACTTTATGATAAAAACCTCCTCAGACGAATATGATTTCTAAAGGAGCATTGGCTTCTTTTTGTGACTTATGCAACATATATTACTAAAGCATATTTTTACTGGTCATACACACTAAAGTGTTTATTTGCGATTTCGTGCAATCTACTAATCATCACACTATTATGTTTTTCTGTGAAAAAAGAAAATCTATATCCTACATCATTCTGTAAACAGCACTGTTTGTTACTTCCATAAAGTTTATCAAAATAACTGCTCTCCATTTAAATAAGCTATTGTTTCAGCGATTGCTCAAGAACAGAGAATGATACGAGCACGTAAAGCGTAAGGTATCCTTAGATTCTAATCCATTCTCTACAAACAGTTTCTATGAAATGCATCATAAACCTAGTAAGTAACAGTTCGCTTCTAAATGTTGCGTTAGCTTTATTTCTACATGGGTTTTTTGGTGGGATTTACTGATTTCCCGTTGGTATTCCTCAGAGATTAACATTAGTTGGCGAACCACATAGGACTCATCAGAGGTAGGACAAAGGACCTTCAGGTGTTGTCACTAGCAAGTTACCATTGAGCCAATGAATCGGAATCCATGGGTTCACATATTCCCATTTTATTTCTATTTAAGGCAAACGTTTCAATTTCACTGTGAACTCCTCCATTGTGTTACCCTACAAGGAAGGTGCATCAGAAACTTTACCTAGGATCCTCAACAAAGCTGGTATTAGGGCGTCATTTAAACCTACAAACTCATTCAGAGATAAGCCCCTGCGTGCTTAAAGATCCGATGGAACCAATTAAGCAAAATAATCTAATCTATCAAATTCTATGTAATGACTATGAGATCAAGTACATAGGTCAAACTAGCCGTTCGGGGTCAGTTAGAATAGCCGAACATAGGAATTTAGCTAAATGTAGAATGACAAACCCGAATAAGATCAGTAATCTGGAAAAAAACTCGGCTATTGCATTGCATGCATTAACATACAGCCACAAAATAGGGTAGGACAAAGCCACTGTACTTAAGTCCAATATAGATAGGTGGAGAGAGAGATTGATTACTGAATCTTTGTTTATCGAATCAACACCCAACACATGTAGTAGAAATGATGCAACATCTATACCAGAGATATGGAAGATTTTACTACCAATAAAAACAACTCATATAAAGTGACGTAACCATAAAAATCAGATGTCGAAAATAGTGTGATTACATTGATATGATTATGAGCAGTGATAATTTATTCTCGAAACGTCATCAAGTAAATAATACTATACCACTGTCTGTTATAAATCAAATAAACAAATCTAATATGGAATTACATGCACAAATTTTTGTATATGCAATACAAAAGTGAACCCAGTCAGAGTAAGACAATCACGGTAGTATTGTGTTGCGTAGAATGCCAATAAGTATTAGTGATATATCCTGGTTTTTATGTGGGAGTAGACACTTGAACAATAGCCCTCAGCAGATTCTAGCCTTGTTGGTAACTCATTTACTCGGTAAATAAAAAAGGCATTAAGATACCAGGAGGCGGATTACTATAGCAGAATATGTCCGAAATACCACGGTTTATACATCTTTTCAATGACCTTGACTATTTCTAGGCCTTTCTAGAAGTAAATGTCTTATTCATTTTGCTTCTTCAACCAATCAAGTACTTGCAAGCGAGCTCACGTCATTCTCTTAAACTTCGAAGCAACACGATCGATTTGAAAGGCTTCAGGGATTTAGAACTTCTTATGCAGGACTATCCAATCTTATCGCACATTATAACAATCAACTACAGTCATAAGTTGAATCACGTAGTCACGATTACTGTTTAAGTAACCAAATGGTTTGTTCATGTTATAATATTGTTAAGATGTTGATTTAACATGCAGCACACTCTTAGTGTAACTACCAGTTTTATGCAGAATAAAAATTGTTCTTTGAATATTTTTATTATGTTTTTGTTTGCCTATGCCACAGCCAATTTCCACCTTGTTGCATCCTTTTCATTTTAGACTGTAGGTGTTGTGACCGATAGTCTTGTCGTTAACGTTATTAGCCTAAGTTAAACATGCTTAGAATTTTCCTGTCTTAGGCACATTTAGATCACGGTTTTCACTTAGTAGTGTCTTAAGAAGTACTGTATTGAGGTGTGACAGAATGAATGAACTGAGATGAATTACATACGTTCTAACTAAACTGTTCTACTATCTACTTAGGTGTATCATATTACCACTAGTATGATTAAGGCATTTACGCACCGTTGGTCCTACCACAGTAGAGGTAATTACTCAGTCTGACTGAAGCTATTTGGGTGTGAGGAATCATAGATTTGAAAAGATCGATTATGCAGCTGAGAATGAACCACAATGGGGCAGATGTATTCTCTTTTTTGCTATCTTTGAAGTTCTGATATTTCGTCAACTCATTTATTTTTCCTCTTTTCTCTCACAATTTTTTGTCCATCTGAAAATCATTTTATTTCTGCTTGCTTCCTCTTACTGTAGTGTCTAAGTGTGGTTACTTAAGTCACTATACCTTTGTGAAGGGTTTGACATTATTTGTCTGCCGGTAATAAGACCTATTTAGTACCACCTTATATTACTAACAGTATCCAGATTTCAGGTTGGTATTTCTCATGAACTGATATCACTTAGAGAAACATTGGTAACCGTGGAGCACTGGACAACTATTTTGTCCTATTATGGGACTCCACAGCAGTGAGCAACCACGACCTCTCCTACCAGGGATCGAAACCAGATCCTTCAGGTTCCGTGGACAGCACCTTACCACCGAGCTACTGGGCCAAAATCCAGTCATCCATATTCCCTACTTCTGTCAGTTCACGATATAATGCGATCTGTATCCAATACCATCGTTGAGTACCTGTTCTCATGTTCAACTTGGTTGACTCCATCGCTCACGACTTCTCATTGGAACTTCAGGAATCACGTCTCGAAGTTAGTCATCAATGAGCATTAGATTAATTCAGTTAGAACGCTTGTGAGGATTTTATTGATTTCAGGCTGGTGTTCATCATAAACTGTCAGATTCATCAGAAAAAGCTTTTCCTCTTTAAAGTCTACTATGGTTTATAACACATACATCTATTTTCATTTCGATAGATGATAAGTTGGCGATTTTATACAACGATTCATCAGTACTTGAAAATCATCACTTGGCTATTGCATTTTCTTTACTGGGTCAACCTGGCCACGATGTTTTTGAGAATTTCCCACGCAAACAACGACTTAGTTCAAGACGTATGATCATTGATATGGTAAGTGACGATCATCTTGTCTCAATTCGTTACTTCACATATTGACTCTTTAAAAATAAATTTACGACTGATTAATATGAAGGTGTATTTTAAGATAGGGATATAAATGAAATTGTATAGTAACTCAACATTCATGTAGAAGTTCATTTGATAGACACTGGATCATGAGTGTTTTGGTACCAGTCGACTTCATAAAGCTCAGTAGATGCAATGTGATTCAAACCATGATCCAGTGGATGAAAGCAAACCACCTGGAGCAACGAATCATCTCTCCACATGACAGAATTGTCATCCGACAGACAAGAGTTCTATGCCTTACTCCGGATACAATGGAGAGGTACAGTCTGCCAATCAGGTGGTCGTCAAACCACTTAATGCACTACACTTGTCGCTAGATATTTCAGAACCAATAACAGAATATCCTGCTGTATTCCATGCCTTACGTCAGCCCCGTAAAAAATATCCACAACATTACGGAAATACATGATCCTCTTGGAGATTTTCGCGAATCGTTAACAGTCAACGTAATTGACATGTTACTTGACTTACCTGCCATAGCAGACTTCTTGATTGATACGCTCCTCTCATAACTGAAAAACAAATAGTGGAATTGATTACGGCTCTTCAACTAACTTGCGAAGAGAGTTCAGCCTTGACATTAACCTTCAGAGTGGTACCAGTATTTTATCCTCTTTAATACACAAGAAGAAGATAGTAAATTATCGTTTTTTTTCTCCATTAAAATGAACGATTTTTTCTAGTTGTTTTAAGTTTATATACGTATTCACTTGGGAGCGATCTCCAAGATGTCTTAGAGTTGGGTTTCATATTTACTAAGTTTCTTCAGACAGACACTTCTACATCCTCCAAAACTGTATATTTTAAGTGGAAAACCATGGTGAATATTTTTTAATAAATATCTTCTAGCTTTTTTGTCAGTTGTATGTTCTCAATGAGAAACTTGTTGATACACAAGATTCATCATTTTAGTGTATATAAGGAAGGAAAAGATACGTTTAGAACATGCACATAGATTTTTCAGCACTCTCCTCATGAACGGTTACTGAAATAAGTCTGTTGAATTAAATGTATCTCATATATTAATCTAAATTCTAAAACCGACTACGAAATTAGGGGATTGAAAGTTACCTAGTGGGTAAATTAAGTGTACAGTATATATACCCACCTATTAACTACATTTTTCCAATTTGTCGCTTATCTGAATTCTCGCGCATAAATTCCAGAAGAGGAATAAACAGTAACTTAATTAGATTCTATATTCGTGACTAAGTTAAGAACAAGTGATTGTTGTGGTCTTGAAACTCTTGAATGAGATCATAATCAGATTATACTTACTCAAGTATAAGTCGACTTCTCAGAGCTCTATGTAGCCTAAAACTCACGGTATCTTACTCGCTTTTGACTTTCTTCGGTCAGGTATAGTGTTGGCTGTTGTACCATACATGTGACACATCCCGATGCACTAAACTGCATCTATAGGTTGAAGCCACTTAGATGAAAGAAGAATTTCATAGTTTTAAAACAAAAGATATTTAACGAAGAGTCACTTTTTTCAGTGATATCCTTTTCAAGCTATCCAACCGCATATTTCATCCCTTTCATAAAATATTCCTGAAAAAAATTTAGTTTGGATTGTAGGTTAGGAGATCAAGAAACGAATTACGTAAGGGTTGAAACAGTAGTAAGATTTATCAAGACGGAAACAATGTTTGTTTACTAGGTAAAATGAAGTAATATGTTTGAAAGGACTGGTGAATGTGATGAGGAATTAGAATTTGAGGGGGTGGAAGAATGTAATTTGTGAGAAGAGGTGAAAGAAACAATTTTGAGGCTAAACTACAGATCATATCCTCTGCAGCTCAAGTGACTGAACAAATTTCCCTTGAAAACAGAGTTCCGGTTTCAAGATGTTAATTACCATGGCTTCCGTAGTTTAAAGAAGTTTCAGGCTTACACCTCTCACTAGGCCCGTAAAAACTCTAAAGATGACACTTAAGTTGTTTTCTGTATTTACCAGATGGTCATAATCGATCAAGTGTTCTAAAACAGAGATGCGAGGTGCTCTCTCTTCTTCTTTGTAGAATCAGGCTGGTATATGCTCAGAAATGCCTTTGGAAAGCGAACGATGAGTACGGCCATTATACCTTACTCCACAGGACCGGTATAAATGAACTTGTCGATTTTAAAAGAAATACATTTAAGTATTAGTAACGAGTCAAAACTAAGCTTTAATGATGATTTCCTGTGCGAATTTATTTTGTAAACCCTTACTATTTCTTTGTACTGTGTAATGGATGTCAGCTGGTAAAGATTGGTAACATCGCAGATCACTGTGTAGCTCTATTTTGATATATGAGTGTCCATTGATTTGGGTCATGTAGTTTATATCCAGACTATAGTTCCCAGTTAATTTGATAGGTTATGATATAAAAAGTATGCATATTTGTTGGGCGATAAGTTGTTGGTTGGTTTGTTGGCAGGCCAGAGTTCCTTGTTGCTTATTCTTCCTGGCCTTCTCATCTGATCTTCAGTATCGAGTGAGCGTAGGTGGCAGCTGTTGATGAATGTCTGTAGTTTGTTGGAAATACTTTTCGTGACACAACAAGCTTCTGAACCATCACATAGCAGCACTGACTTGACTGAATTAGTGTCAAAAATCGGGATCTTGTTCACGCTTTGTGCTGAGTTCAGTAGATCTCCACACTGATTTCAGATTATTGAAAGCCTGTCTTGCTTTTCCAATCCTGGTTTTCACATCCTCGTCTGTACCGCCCCCTGTAGTTGGAATGATGCTGTCTGGTTAGGCGAGCAGGTGAAAGAGACAACTTCCTTTAGATTTCTCCCGTTCACGGTGATTGGTGCCTGTTGTTGATGGCCCCTTCTCTAATTCAAGTAGACTGCATATATATATATATATATATATATATATATATATATATATATATATATATGAAATACTTAATGACTTTAGGGTCATGATAACTGTTCGCTATTATTCGACTTTCTTACATGGTTTTTCTCACAAAATACACAAAGTAAATAAGGTACAGCTGAATTCTTGTAAGTAGTTGTGCGTACCAAAAGTTCAATTTATTTTGCTTCTTATTTTCGGTGAGGAGAAACATGGACAGCGGTGTAAATGCAGGTGGTGCCAACATCAGATAAAATATTTTTACCAGCTGTCTAGAAGTGTTCAGATGTCTGTCCACAGTCACAGTTACTGGCACAGTCAACGATGTATCACTCGATCCACCAAAAGCCTTCAAAATCCTTCGCATTACAGCATAGTTCATTTTTTGGAGTCCAGTAAAGAATAAAGTGGGACAATACTTATAGGCAAAACACAGGAATTAACAAAACGTAAGAGTAAAGTTTGAGTGATGCCAGATAATCTGAGTTCCCTTATATGAAGGGTCAAGTGGAGGATTTTCCTGAAAACCAGTAAAATATGAAGGGACTACGAAAGATCAGAAGAAGGGGAAAAGAAAAAAGGAAAGAACAACATCTTCAGGCACACTGGATTCACTAAGTAGCGACGTACAGTGCTTCCCTCTGTATAAAGTGTACTGTCTTCCCTCGGAAAAATAAGAATGAAGCCAGTTTACAATCTTGAACTGAACACTGACGACCACAGCAAAATAACCTCGCCAGCCCCTCCCCCTTTCTCTACACAGTACATGTTAACAGTCAGATATTCCATATTAGTGAAATATTTTGATCTATCTACTTTTAGCAATTTAGAGAGTGAATAGCAGTTCAATGTGCTTAATAGTCTGTGCTCACTAACCTTACTTGCTGATAGACATCCCTAAGTATAACCAATTAGTGTTTGATAATAATACACAATGAAAAATTTTAAACAGATAATCAAATTAAATTACTTTGTATAAAAAGTTTTATTTCTCCTGCATATTAATGAGTACATATGTTATACAATTCAGGTTCTAGCTACAGATATGTCAAAGCATATGAGTCTGCTTGCGGATTTAAAAACAATGGTCGAAACAAAGAAAGTAGCCGGATCAAGTATACTGACTTTGGAAAATTATATTGATAGAATGCAGGTAAAATGCGTATATTACTTCTTCTCTCCTGCATGTCTTTTTGTTTTTATAGTTCAGAATAAAAGATGGTTATTTTAAATTATCATTTTGATCATCTGAAATAACCGTGGTTTGACAGACTAATATTGATATTGAGTGATGATTTAAGGTGGCACCACAGTAAATTCAAACCGATGGCCACCACAGATTCCAACTTGTTGCTCTACCAGCTGACCTACGAGACCTAACTGTTGACTAAATTTTTATTTCAGTTCAGTCGACAAGGGTTATCCCCTACTATCATGTGAATTCATAATACGCCACTATTACTCGATCGTACTGACACTGACTGACCAGTCAGGACTTCTCGCCCCAATGCAGTCTACTTGAATTAGAGAAGGGGTCATCATACTGATTATCATTTTAACCACCTGAGATAGTAGTGGTTTGGTAGACTAATACTGTTACTGGGTGATGATTAAATTCGAAATGAAAATTTGGGCCACGAAAAGATTACCATTTGGTAGACCACTAAGCCGGAAACCCCGGTGGTCACTGGTTATGTCAAAATTAAGATCTGTTCAGATTAGATTTATACTCAATGTCGATTTGGATCATTTTACTGAATAGGGTTTTCAAACTATGTAAAAACTGTCAATCAACTACTCAAAATCAACCTGACTGGTAGACTGATTTTAACTTATGTGAAAAATCTTTCAAGTTGACTGAGAACCTGCAAGTAGGCAAATTTTGAATAAGCAGTTACCAGCTCAGTAACTTACCAACTTCACTAGCCCCTTTCCACTTAATCTCACTCTGAATTGAGATACGAATGCCTGGGTACCAGGTAGTATGGTCATGAACGGACAGCTAAAAACCCCTTTCAAAATAACTATTGGCGACTGTAATGAGACTAAGACTTGTTTAGCATTTTATTTTAGGCCAATGTGTCAGTCAACTAAATGATTTGTGGTGAATTAATTTGCAAACAGTTTTCATCAAGATGTGCCAAATTGAGGAACTATGAAAAACCAGACAGAAATGGACGGCAGTTGAGAAATATGGATTATCGGATTCTCATCTAGCCGACTAACGGTAATTTTCTCCATGAGACCTTGTCTTAAAATCAGTCTCCTGTCAGAATAACATATCACGTTTCTCCCTAATTTGATTGGCTCTGTAGTTGATATATGCCTGTAATTAGAATTATCTTCCAAGTAGCATACAGCAAGAGAATGTAATTAGATATGGATTATTGAAATATTTAATCATCAAAAGAGTGTAGACGGTCAATGCGATCTTAATCCACCATTTCCTAGTACTGTGAGGACTCTGCTCAGATAGACTACACTTTGCTTGACACTAAAAACCAGTTTGTTCATGGATAAGTGGACCACTCTGAACACTTTAGAAACCTTCTCAGGATAAACAGTCATTCAGTATGTGTTGCAGACTTCCCAGCTACACCACTTCTTGTCAATATACCTTATCGAAAGCAGTTCAGTAATAGTTAATTCCAACTGGTAGTTTGAATGATATTTACTTTATTATGAAAACTGTATTAATTGTAAAACCTGCCTGGATATACTGACTGTCACATTCGGTCAGTATAAACTATAAATCCAGATTAGTTATCTGTTTAACGAGAAAATGTAGAAAGGAACTCCAATGCGAAATAATCCATAATCATTACAACAGAGTTAATCACTTACACTATTTATTTGAAGTAAGGATTTCTGTAATCATAAACTCCAAAGTAAAACATTAAAATATATATAGTGAGACATATTAGCGAGATAAAATCTTGAAAAAAACAACAATAAGAGAAGTTGAGATTTAAGAACAAGATATTCAGCGAAGAGACTCTTCAACGAATTTATTTTCAAGCTGTACAATCGTATATATATGGTATTCGGAAAAAATTAAATCCTGTGAGGAAAACTAAACACTATATGCTGATGACAATAATAATAGAGCGGGTGATGACATAGGCATTTATGATTATAATAACAATTGAAGTACGAATGGTAACAAATAGATTATGTAATATATGGAATGGTACATAGAGAGTATATAACTCAGAAGGGGGTGAAAAATTGTTGAAAATGGTAAATCAATTAAGTATTATGTAATGGCATTAGACAAATTGGACAAGATGAAGTCAATGTTTTCTAAAAGGATTAAGACAATTAAGTGAAACAACACCGGAAACTAGTTGAAGTGAAGGCAATTATAATAACAATAATAGTGATAAAGGAAGGATACAAAGGTTAAATTAACAAAGTGGGAGGGGGAGCTAATGGGGTGGGAAAATGTTATGGCCATGATAAAGACAGTGACTGCACATACTTCTTTTGTACACACAGATCAGGTCTTAGTTCATGAATAGCTAAAGCCTCCGCTGTTTTAAGGAGTTGAAAACGAAGAGAACGTGGGAGGTTTGAGATTTCATATCAGACATTATTCGGTATAGTCAAATTCATGAGACTTACAGTGGTCATTCTTAGTACTTAATTAAGACAAAGGAACTGAAAATTGCAAAAAAATTAGTGAAAATCCTCTCAGCTGGACACAAACGTTCTTAACACTGAATTATCTTTAGGTATATATATGAATTATCAAACATCTTAACCATAGTTACAAGCCATTTTCGTTTCCATTCCTATTGCTTCTACTAACTCACTGGATAGGTTTTGTTGATTACCTTGTCTTGATCAGTTGTGTTTGATGAGTTTGGTTAAAGGTCTTTTTTTTTGATAACATATCTTGCTAGTTTCAATTGATCAAACATACTCACAGTGACCATAGGAAGAGTTCATCTAAGGTTTGACGAATAATGAGATTCAAAAAGAATCGATCCAAAGGATTTATGCTTATATTTCATCCTAGTTATTTCAAATTATTAAGCCATACAATACAGAATGTACATCCAGTTACAGCAAGAAGTACATTCATTATTCACCTAAAATAAAGCTTCGATAGCGTAATTAGAAGACGAAGTTTATCTGAGCAATGTAATATATTTGGGCAATACATTTCGAACAATCTGATCACACATTTACTTGTCAAGTCAATATATATTAAACCGAGGACTTGGAGGGGGGATAAATACAACAATTAACACAATAGGGGATTAAAATTAAGAAAGATGAGGACAAACAGGAAGTGACATAGTTGGTCCTAATCTTCGTAAGAAAACAAAGTTTACCAAGGGGTAGGTGTAGTGTAATAACAAACTGTTTTTGTACACATAAAGGTGGTTTAAATTTGTGTATGGCTATGGCTTCCGCAAATCTCAGAATACGTCCCCTCCCAGTCCTCGGTTTAATATATATTGACTTGACAAGTAAATGTATGATCAGATTGTTCGAAATGTATTGCGCAAATATATCACATTGCTCAGATAAACTTCGTCTTCGAAATTCATAAAAGGGACTAACTGTTTCAAATTTAAAATAAAGTTGCTGCTTATTACAAGTTTTCTTTCAATTTTTATTCTTTATAGATTTTACAAAATATGGTGCATTGCGCGGATTTAAGTAATCCAGCTAAGCCATTAGACTTATACAGACAATGGACAAATCGTGTTATGGAAGAACTTTTTCGTCAAGGTGACAAAGAACGTGAATTGGGCATTGACATTAGTCCAATATGCGATCGAAACACAGCGACGGTAGAAAAGTCACAGGTAACTTAAACAAAATAAACTATTTTGGGTAATCTACGATAGTATTTGAAGGTTAATGGGGATTTGAACCTTGAGGTAGTATTTAACACGGACTGAAATCAGATGGAGAATCTGGGAGAACTGGAAATTTGCCTCGCCCAAGTGTGGGACTCAGCCATATGCACCCACGACCCCGCTAGGGATCGAACTCATGACTTCCAGGTTTCACAGGGCATACCTTCACCATTCAGCCACTAGGTCGGAGTTAAATCTCTTATTGTTTGGGATTTCATATTACTTAAAAAAGACAGTAATCAACTATGTTGGTAGTGTGAATATTTGCTGTTGGTAGGCGTTTTCAGTAATCCCTAGAAAATGCTGAGTCCACTCAACCATATAAATGACAATAGGCTACACATAGTATGTGGGTTAACGAAATATTCCACTTGTTTAATCTAAGTTAGACTAAACAGAATCCTAGATTATATAGGCATAAGTCATATATGTCTTTATAGGAAGTGCAATTATTTGATGGCAACGTTAGTCATAAGATGAATTCCTACAAATCACTATTTGTCTCAGTCGATATGTCTTTAAATAATAGGATAAATATCTATCATATTTCACCAATCACTAAACAACTAAAACATTCGGAATGAAAATCCTCATAACTGCTACCTTATCGTTGGTACTTGAAAAATGAATTCACGATTCAAAGTAAATAAAAAAAACAATTACGCCTCAAGCACTAGTTGAGCTGTTTTGTTAATCACAGCATAAAACAATGTATTAGCGGTTAACATGATTTTTTTGCTACACAACAAACAATAATAAAAGATGGAAACCAACTTGTTTCAGATTTGCATAGTGGTAATTCACCAAACATACCGATTAAGACTAAGGCATATGCTCTAGACGATGAACCATGCTCGCTAAGTGAGGTTTAAAGATACTACTCAAATGCTTAAATAGATGTACGTGGATTGGGATGCGAATTTTTGAACAAGTAAAAAAGGAAATACCTTGAACCAACCGACCAATATTCCCACTGTTATGTACCTATCAGGATATGAATTTTTTAGATAAAGTATGAGACATGCTAATACACACTATCGCTTTTTTTATCAACCTATGAGACTTGAGTGATAAGGTGTATAAAGAAGTTTGAACAGTGTAAAATATAAATTCTTTATAGCTTGAGATGACAAGCTCATCATTTAAAGATTAACTATGTGTAGCCTGAATATTTAAAAGATACACGTTTGAAGAAAAACTATCGAAGTTTTGTTGAACAAAGATATCGAGTCAAGAATAAATGAATAAATTGACGGATAATATCACAACCAGAAAGTTTACAATCCTCAGAAAAAACTAACGAATTCTCTATTGAACGAAATTTCAATGTACACTGCAGATAATATCTAACCACCAAAGGTGATATACATTTTCTCTGAAATGATTTTAGTGAATGACCAACAGATTGTTTAGAATGTATTACTTTTCAGTCTGATTTTCATATGAGTTTTTTCGTCGTTATTTTAATTTGACCAATCTGTTGAAGAATAAATCTTCATGAGTTTAGAAGATAAAGATTCTAAAAGTATTGACTTATTATATCTTGAATCACATTACTTAAATCGTGCCAAGATAATAATTGATTATACTATAGTGATACTTTGAAGTAATCGATGGCTCCAAACCAGTTACACTTTCCTTTGTAAAATCACGAAGGTTGACTGCATTATCGAATGAAAGGAATAATTTTACTGCACAACTGATACTTAAACTAACAAACTAACATTTCATTAATACTGAACATCTTAGAGTTATCGTATATACAATAATAAACGTTAGTAAACTTCAACTAAATTAAAATTGAAATCAGGAAATCAATAAACTCCTCAGTCGGCGCAAGTACACCTCAACGACTAACCTACTCGAATTGCCTAAACGTCTGCGCTTAATCTTGAATTCACTTATTTCTACAAGCAGATTACTTTCAATAGACATTGATTATGAAAACTTTACAATTATCCAAGGCCTCGCCTACAGAATGGCAAATATGAAGCGGTTACGAGTATGTGGTCACAGGTGTTTTCGTAGTGTTGCTCACGGATGGTGGAATCACCATATGAGGAATGTAGAGGCCAGACAAAGGGTACACAGCAGGACTGGAAAGTCGGTCAACTGATCAATATAAACATAGGACCAGCATTGCTGCATAACAGTCCAAGTCGCCATATCTCATATCAGCACACAAAGTAACAAAGCAGCAACATCAGAGATGAAGAAAGAGGGGGAAATCGATCAAAAGGATTAGAAAGCAATAAAACAGAGGAAAGAAGAATTAGAAAATGCCGAATTAAGTGTAGCGGTTAGGATGAAGATATCGATTCCTCGTCATATCACCTAGTCTCCAAGGTCAATGATGTCGGGACGCCTCCCCGACTGAAGTGGATTGGACATGTGTTACACATCCCAAGCTACCACCAGCCTCGAAATGCAATGCTAGCAGAAGTTGGATCAGGTTGAAAGAAGGCTTAGGATGGTCAGAACAAGTCGTGGCACAAGTGTATGAAGTCTCTGACTGTTGGTCTTGAGCCGTGTATGGAGGTGTGGACTGCGTAGTTAGGAAAGGTTGGAGACCTACGTTTGGTTACATCGCTAAACATCTGCCGTAATGGCGCAGATGTGTTCACTCGTTGACGCCTTCTAAAGCTTGAATGTTACAACTAAGTTTAATTTCTGAACCCCTCTCCTTCTACACACTTGTTCTTTGCATGCTACTTTGAATTGTGGGAACTTGAACCGATACACTGGCATGTGAGGTTCTACGTTGATTTTTTCCGCCTATTTTATAAGTAGTAATCGGCAAACTACCAAATTGTAAGAAGTGTTGATACGAACTATGGGATTTGAGTAACGCGTAGAATTTCCTAGGAATCAATAATCTACAGACTTACTACTACTCAGAAATAAAGATGGTCTTTTTAGCTGAAATATATTCTATTGTTTTTAAAGTATTGTATGATTTCTAATTTCAACTTTTTTACCACAACTTTCTCTATGTCAATACATGTATAGGTTAGCTTTATCGACTATATTGTCCATCCATTATGGGAAACATGGTCAGATTTGGTTTATCCAGATGCACAGACTATATTAGAGACACTAGAAGACAATCGTGAATGGTATTTCAGTCAAATGAATGAAACGAATAATAATAATAATAATACAGAGAATGAAGAATGAGCTGATCAGATTTTTACCACTAACAAAAAAGAAATCATCAGGTGTATCATGAAATTGTCAATTCCACAAAAAATATGTAATGTAATTCAGTTTACATTTTCATTGCGCTTCAAAAAAAATAAATAAATAAATAAAGGATTACATTGCTTATGAACTAAATTTGTTCCCTGATATATTTTATATCAATCGATTGGTTTAGAAAACAATAAAATGCATGAGACAATGAAGGCATTAACATGAGAATGTACACTGAAACTTTCGATAAAATCATTTTAAAAACACCCTATGAATGAGATGTCAGTTTAATTTAATCTTGTAATCATTGTCTGTGCTGTCAAAGAGTAAATTATATTGGAAATCAGTTTCATTCACTTTATAAAAGCAGCACTACTTTATATGATATCTGACCTTGTTGTATGCTTAAAGTGAAGAAAATTATATCAATCTTTCTTATATCTTATGTACCTATATGTTTTAATGATATACTATATAAGGTATATATACATACATATGCTCAATTTTTTGCATTTCTTTTACCATGTAACTTCATAGCCTAACATACAATATTTCATAAACGAAACCACTTGACTTTGGAGTCTTCCTATGACATTAATGATGTTTCGGTTTATTGTCGTTTTCTTCTTTTAACTACTACAGGAAGATAATACAAACTGCTTACTTGTTTAATTAATTTGTCGTTGTAAGTGTTACTCATCTCTTTCTTATCAGTGATACACTTTCGAGCAGCTACATAAATAGGAATAAATTGAATGGATATGAATCACTGCTTACGAAACTTATGTATGTATCTAGGTATGTGCGTGAGAGAAAGACCAACTCAGTAAAAACCCACCACAAATGCATAGAGATTTCTTTTATCATCCTAGTTCGTCTATATAACTAAGTTTTCGACTATCAGTCAATTAATATACAGCTGATAAACTATCAATCATACAGGAAAATAAGGAAAAAGATAAGCATGAAAAGAGACTTTCTTGTTAATATGCATATTATTATTATTATTCCTCCTTCCTTTATCTTGCTTGTCTTACTTCACTTTTCTTTTCCCCTCACTCTAACGATTGTGTGTTTTGATGTATACATACAAATGTCACAGAGTTTACAAAAAACGAGTACAGAAAGAAACAAGGATCAATAAAGCAAACATTTCATATTTTATATTGCATTATTTATTGGTCACGATACAGCTGTTCTGATTTTGTTTATTTCCTTCCTTCCTCCCATCAAATACAAACAATCAAAACAAAATGTACACAAACATATATATATATGGAGTATATAATCTGATACTTTTGAAGAAAAAAGTCAACCAAACAACACTTAAGAATGTGAATTATGTTTATGATTAATAGTGCATCAGAAGAAGTCGAGTTCACCGGGTGAAGGCATTAAACCATTATGGCACAAGGTATACAGTCGTGTTTCAATATTGCCCAACAGGGAACTAGCTCCGAATCGTAGATAGTCTGGATTTACCCATTCTGGTCCAAGAATACTATTAGTTAGTTGGAGATAGTTGATTGCATCTTTAGCTGTGCGAAGACCACCAGCAGGTTTAAAGCCAACCTATTTTGAGAAGAAATAAAAATATTTGATAAGGAGATTTAATTTTACCATTACTAAAATCATTCTACTCGTGATTAGTAAATAGTATAATAAAAAGATAGGATAATCGCCTAAATTTTACGGATTTGTGAAAACTAAACAAATAATTGGTAGGCTTATTTTTTGCGTTCCAGAACACGTGATTGACAACATATACGTGCTTGAAATTAAAGTATAAATGATAATTTGCACTAACAACATGCCTTTTGTGACGCATTCAAGGTCTGCCAGTAAACAAGCCAGATAGACAAATTAAATTAGGGCTGACATCAGTTCAAAATGTAACAATTCACAACGGTACACTATTAGGAAAATGACAGTAAAAGAATGTACCATTGTGGTCGAATTGAGTTACTCCCACCACTTATTTTCCTTGGGGTTTGCAGGGAACGTTCGTGAGCTAATGGAGGATAGTTGCAGTTCAGGTGGATGGTATTGGTTGTACTGCGTTCTCTGAGCTAGGTTGTTTAATCGTGAGGCTTTCATCGCCTTGCTAGACGACATCATCAGCACTAACTTCAGTATGAAGTGAGCTGTCAATATCTCTCCGTGAGTGATTTGGTGGCTTGCTCTGACGATGTGGTCTATGATTGGTTGTTTCCTTCGATTGTTGTGTCATTGATTGTATAGACTTTCCTGTTGGCTGTTCCTCTGCTTCACTTCCGACCTTTCTGTCGTTTATCATTTTTCTTATTGGTTGATAGATCGGGTCTATGTCTATACATCTATTGATTGCTGACTGACCTGAATGCCGAGCTTCTAGAAATTCTCTGACATTCCTTGTGCTTCCTCTGTCCAAAATTTCTACATTGTCGAAATTGAATTCATATCGATAATTATCCACACAACACACTGACCAAATCCTCAACTACAATAGCAACAACACACAAAATCAGTTGCGTGCAGACTCTATTCAAAAGAGCGAGAACACACTGCAGCACAACAACTTCACAGAGAAACCAAGAAAATTACTTCATGTCCACCCTGAAAAAGAACGGCTACCCACGAAACTTTATCAGAAAATGCCTATCCTGTGCATCACCAACTACAAAGTCATCGACAAAAATCAACAAACGCATCGTCCTACCATACATAAAGAATGTATCGGAAATCACAACAGATTGCTGAGACCACTTGGAATTGCTGTGGCTCATAAACCAACAAATTCCCTCCAAACACTATTATGCAGACCAAAGGATGCAACAAGCAAAGAAGACAAACCGAACATCATTTACAAAATCAACTTCAATAACTGTAGTCAGCACTACATTGGACAAAGTGGCCGCCCTCTTCGCCTTCGTCTACATGAGCACCAATTGGCTACGTGGATAATTATCGATATGAATTCAATTTCGACAATGTAGAAATTTTGGACAGAGGAAGCACAAGGAATGTCAGAGAATTTCTAGAAGCTCGGCATTCAGGTCAGTCAGCAATCAATAGATGTATAGACATAGACCCGATCTATCAACCAATAAGAAAAATGATAAACGACAGAAAGGTCGGAAGTGAAGCAGAGGAACAGCCAACAGGAAAGTCTATACAATCAATGACACAACAATCGAAGGAAACAACCAATCATAGACCACATCGTCAGAGCAAGCCACCAAATCACTCACGGAGAGATATTGACAGCTCACTTCATACTGAAGTTAGTGCTGATGATGTCGTCTAGCAAGGCGATGAAAGCCTCACGATTAAACAACCTAGCTCAGAGAACACAATACAACCAAGATCGTTCGTGAGCACCCATTCATTCGAAAGAAGCTACTGAGATCTATTCGCCCCTTAGAATCGACTACGGTTTTCAACGCTGTTTCTGCAGCAGACTATAGATGGCACCAGATCTCTTCTGGATGAATGTCGTTCTGTTTCTATAACTGTCCAGTTAGTTTATCGCTGGAAGCACCCCTACTATTCTCATTGTTCAGCTGTGCTCGCAATGGCAATGGTCTTGTTGCTGTAGTTTTTCTATGTCCATTCAGATGAAAGCATATACTTACTCGAAACAACGCGTGGTCGCTGTCTAAACACGTAGCCCAGAAGGAGCGTAATCTTCCACAGATCCTCTTCAGCGATAGCAATACAGTCTTTCTGCCTCCAGCGCTAAGTTGTGGTCGGTGGAAGACACACTAGACAATGTCTCTTTTTATGCCTGAATTTTGTGGTGGCCAGAAATAAATAGTTGCCTGGACACAGTTGTGGCAGGCAATCGTTCTTACCTATCCATTCAGCTGGCTGGGATTTTTAAAAGGTCACCTGCGCATTGAAATCACTTGAGACAAATACCAAGTCTGAGCGCGTGGTTTGCAGTAGGAGGTAACAGACTTCGGTAGAACTCATCGTTCACCTCATCTGAATTCCAGCTAGTGGGTGAGTAAGCAGAGTTTACAAAGAGATAAAAACGAGTTTCATTATTCTTTTCAGCTCTCACTGCGACGTTTAGTCGTACAAACCATAGGTGAATTCTAACTAGAATCCTGTCAAATAATATACTTTCTACCTTAGTGCACAATTCTATACCTACACCCGCAAGACCACGGGAAAAAGCCATCGAATCTCCAGAAACTCAGATTCACTATATTGGCCCGATGAGGTTAAGTGAATAACCACACTGAAGTCCTGCATGCATGTCTCACAAAGCATCCATCGCCCGAGATACTAGAGTTTTGGCTAGAGAAACTTGTTAGCTGATATGGGCGACAATGAAGACATCGAAAACTTCAATGCGTAGTCTGGAGAGCGGTTTCGGGAGACCAGGGATGCTATTTCGAAAACTCGGACTACTGAAAAGGGCTGCAGAGCTTGAACAAATGAAAGATGCAGGATTATTTTTGAGGTCACACTTTTCTAACCATCCTTCCCATAGGGAATGTAGCATCAGTGTAGCACTGCTAGTCATCCAAGGGAAACACTCTACTTCTGTCACACCCCAATCTAGCTAGTAGTGCGACTTCCTACTTTGACCGCCGACACAGCGCAAAATTGTACGCTCTGAAGATAACTACTTTTTGTCTTACCACTACCTAACAAACCTTTCTGCAATGGTAAGACATCAAGAGAACGAGAGTTCTATCAGCTCACTGTGATATGCAAAACTGACCACCACCCAAAGGTTGCAGCTAGCGGTCATATCGCTTTTGGTCCTACCTCAGGCTCCAGTGCACGCACAGGAGGTGATTAAATACAAGCGTAGACAAGTGTCACAATCCTTTCTAGTTCTTACACATCTACCAAGCTGAATAAGACGCCGACGGTTGTCAACTAGGAGACTGTTGAGCAGTGAACGATAGGCTCCAGAGCTCAATGTTATTGCTACGACGAGAAGTACACGGGGAATTACCGTCTAAAGTCCAGATATCCATAAGGTGAGCTTTGCAAATTTACCATAATGCCTGGATAAGACCAAGTGAACAACTGCATTTGGGTCGTCCATGTGCATCGCAGACACATATAAGACATCCATGATCCAAAATGTTGTGATTTTGGCGAGTGAGGCCTACTATTCGATTTGGCAATAAGTTAGAACTTTAAAAGCGACAATGTGAAACTGTTAATGCGGTTTTAGGAGACTGCAAGCAGTTACCTAAGAGGAGAAACAAAGGAAACAATGGGCCAACCACTTCAAAAAACTCTTGAATCGACCACAACCTGCAACTAGTCCAGAAATACCACCAGCAACAGTAGAACTACCAGTGAACACAGGCCCTCCAATAAAAGCAGAAGTCCTAAACGCCATAAAGTTACCTAAATCCGGGAAAGCAGCAGGACCAGATGGAATTCCGCCAGAAGCACTGAAAACAGACGCACAGACAACAGCGGACATGCTCACACCACTACTGAAGAAGGTTTGGAGGGAAGGAAAAGTACCTACCCAGTGATTGCAGGAAAGGTTACCTTATCAAACTCCCGAACGAGGGAGACCCAAATCTTCACAAGAATTGGCGCGGAATCATGCTGCTGTCCACTCCAAGCAAAATATTGTGGCGCATCATCCTGGAGAGACTAAAAGATGTGCTGGATTCATTAATCTGAAGTCAGTGTGGAGATCTACTGAACTCAGCACAAAGCGTGAACATGATCCCGATTTTCAAAGCCAATTCAGTCAAGTCAGTGCTGCTATGTGATGGTTCAGAAGCTTGTCGTGTCACGAAAAGTATTTCCAACAAACTACAGACATTCATCAACAGCTGCCACCTACGCTCACTCGATACTGAAGATCAGATGAGAAGGCCAGGAAGAATAAGCAACAAGGAACTCTGGCCTGCCAACAAACCAACCAACAACCTATAGCCCAAAAAATATTCAGAAGAAAGTGGAGGTGGCTTGGATTGGGCATACACTGAGAAGGCCGACTGGGGACATCACGCACCAGGCCCTCGAGTGGAACCCAAAGGGAAGACGATGAGTTGGGCGTTCGAGGCGAGGGTGACATGGAGGAGATCATGTGAGGAAGAAATGAAAGCTTGTGAGGAGTCGTGGAGTGAGGTTGAAAAGACTGCAGAGAAGAGAGTGCGATGGAGGCGTGCTACTCAAGCCCTATGTTCCACTAGGAAACCAAGGGAAAAAAATAATAATAAGCAGTGATTTGCTGGCTTGAACCGTCAGCAATAATTGAAGGATAAAAAGTTGGAGAAACTGTTAGGGGTTTGGTAACAGCGACAAAAGTGAATAATAAAGTCGGAGAAATGGACCAAGACGAAGGGGTGGTTTATTCTTAGAGGCGTTCTATGCGCCATTGGTAGCATGCACCCAATCATACCACAGAGTTGATTTCTTCTCAAGGTATCTGAAGACGAAAGGGGAATCATCTTTGGTATCCACAGAGCCACCAGGTAAAAAGCCAATCATGCTTAAAGTGAAGAACACATTATTTCATGAATTAGTGGCGTACCTTGTTCCAATCATACATCTAAAGAAATACCTAATGGTTAAGCATGGATGACACGCACAAAACATTTCCATTAATACATACAGTGCATCACCTACTGATCTGTTTTTATCAGATAAAACCCTTAGCCTAACATTGACGTTGTGCATTAATTTATTTCAAACTGCACGACGGGTGCTTCGGACATTATTATAGTCTACTTGGTTCCCAGCACCACTGGGACTGGGAACCACCAAGTAGACTCTATAAAGGCATGTCATACACCTTAGTGCATACACTAAATGTGGTATATATATATATATATATATATATATATATATATATATATATATATATATATATATATATATATATATATATATATATATATATATATATATATATAACTAGTAGCAGTAGTGAAACTAATGAATAACTTGAACTTTCATCTTCATCATCAATATAAATGTGTTGTAAGATCAATATGTCTGCATTCCCTCGTTTTGAATAAACGAGAATATTTGGTTCATGATAGAAATAAACATTCACATACCTATGAAGCCTAACTATGCGCTATTGTTGATAATAATGAAAATGATTTTTACTAATATTCATATTCAGTTAGTGTTGTTTGTAGAAAGTATGATAGAATTTGCCATAATTATTCTATAAACTACAAATGAATTGAACTTTTCTTGAAACTACAGCATCAGGACACTGTAAACTAGTTCCGAGTCGATATTGACAAACTTTTATTATTATTATTAATCCCTTGGGTTCCTAGTGGAACATAGGGCTTCAGTAGCACGCCTCCAGTGTACTCTCTTCTCTGAGATCTTTTGAACCTGGTCCCATGACAGCCCACAAGCTCTCATTTCCTCCTCGCACGACCTCCTCCATGTCACCCTTAAAAAGGACGTCCAACTCGTCGCTTCCCATGGGGATTCCACTCGAGTGACTGGCCTGACGCGTGATGTCCCCAGTTCGCCTTCTCAGTGTATGCCCAATCCATCTCCACTTCCTTCCACCGCATATTTGTTGGGTGATGGGTTCTTGCTTCCTTGGTTCGCTTCCAGAGCTCCTTGTTGCTTATTCTATTATTCTGGCAAAACATCTGATCTTCAGTAACGAGCCAAAGTAAGCAGTTGTTGATGAATGTCTGTAGTTTATTGGAAATCCCTTTCGTGACGCGCCAAGTCTCTGAACCATAAAACAGGAGCACTGACTTGACAAAAAGTTGGTGTTGAAAATCCGTATCTTGTTCCATATGCTGAGTGCAGAAAAAAAGATCTCCACACTGGTTTCAGGCTAATGAACGCCTGTCTTGCTTTTCCGATTCTCAAAAACTTTGACGTCCTAGTCCGCCAAAACCGCCTGTAGTTGAAACAGTGCTTCCTAGATAAGTGAAGGTGGTTACTTCCTTTAAGTTTCTCCCGTTGATGGTGACTGGAGTTTGCTGTTGTTGTTGATGGTGGTGGTGCGGTATCTTCATCACTTCTGTCTTCTCTATATTCACTTGAAGTCCCGTCTTCGCTGCCTCTTCTATCAACTTGTTAGTTTTTGCCTGCAGATCTTCAAGTTTATGTGACATTAGGCACAAGTCATCAAAGGCGAAATCCAAATCTTCTAGGTTCTTTTCCGCCGTCCAGCGTATCCCCCTCTTCTCGCTGCCTACTGTTTGCTGCATGATCCAGTCCACCACAATCAGGAATATCAGTATCTTTTAAACTCCTTGTGACTAAGTACATAACCATAAATAAACGACTGACGTGGTGTTTTAAAATATGCACTATAATTTTGTTGTAGACCATTTTGTTGTAATGTCTACAATTTAAAAAATCAATGTATTTCACTCATCCATTTGACGGCTAATGCGACACACACGTCAATGCACACGAATTGGTCATGAAAGAATAGCTAATGTGGCTATCAAGTCCTTAGTGTCAACATTGATGGAAGTTAGCTGACCAGGCTTACAATACAGAGTACCGCACTGTCACATCACTTAGTGTGGTGGTCACACTGATATCAGGAATAACACTAAAAATGTTATCTGGTTTCTAAAGAGAGTGTAAATCACAGGATTTAGAATAAATGTGTAGCTGTTTACACTGACACACCTAACATAAAAACATAAGGATACAAGGCAAGACGATGAAAGACAAAAAGATCTACATCATGCAGTCACAAGTCAAATGGACCCATAAAACGCAAAGACGAAGAGATGAAACAAATATCTACAAATAGTGATTTCGGTTGTCGTATGAACTCTAACAGGGAAGTTTATATTACCCTACATGGCTCATACCAACAGTCAAAGGTTACATGGCTGTCACTAGCCTTTTTACAGCCTCGACCTACCTCGGCTGAAGTTGCATAGTGGGACAGACGGTGACGAGGTATGCGTAACACATGTACCAACCATCTGGGTCGATGAAGTTTTACAACCCCATCAACTGACTTACCTCTCTACTTAAATCTCTATCCCTGACAATTTGACTACTGACGTAGTAGTTCCAATACACGGTCAATACTATAAAGGTAATGGTGGTCGAACAACTAAGTGTCATCCCTAGCCCTCACAGAATACATGTGACTAGGAGTCTAGCTTAGTTTGATAGGAGTAGTTAACACATTCAACCATTTCACTCTCCACTGTTAAAACGAAATCAGTGCAGACCAGTCATGGAGCATAAATTTGCATTTGGGTGATGAGAAACGCTCTCCAAACACCTTTAAATTCAATTTAAGTGAATCAGAAGACTCCATATTATTTCGACCTCTTGACCCAACAGAGAAATGCCATCTACAAAATATAAGTCGACCATGGGATATTCTGGAACGAGAATAATCCCCATAAAGTCAAACACAGAGAGAAAGATTTTCATATGGATGTCTATGACAACCTTAAATAAAAATTCAGAGTCAACATTTATGATGAGGAAAAAGGTTAGGGGAAAAGTCAACAACCCTTCAGTTGTAAAGTCTTTAGGAGTGTCATTCCTTTTAGAAAGGGACTTCTTTTAATGAGAAATATAGTAAGAAATAATCAATCAACGAATACCACCTTCGTGACTAGGAATACGGCTAGTATTATGTATCTCGTTTTTGTAGGGTTTGCTTTTCCACAAGTTTAACTAGACGAAGAACGATTATGTACCTCTGAATTTTGGAACTAAGTTGATCAAACTAACTTATGTATTACCACAAATGGATTTCTCACCTTTATTGGGAATCTAAAAAAAATTGGTAAATATGACCACTCACATGGAATCGCGTTTAGCTCTTACACTGCAGGTAATACCTCAGTCAATTTAACGAACAGTCTCCGATCACTATTCTTAAATATATCTTTTTGTAGCTTACATTCCATCGTTTCAGTCTACTTTTCAGTTACCAGTTTTCGAAAGAGTTTAAAATCTTATGTCAACGTTCTAACCCGTCCACGATTGGATAATGGAAAAGTATTTGAAGGTCAGTTCCTAAAAACTTTATGTTATATCTCTTGACAGTGTATTGCTGAGCCACTCTTTATCAACTAGCCTCTATAACTGTCAACTTTAAACATCAATTGGATAGTAATGATGAGCAGTGGTTAGCAGTTGAATCCAAGGTGCATACTTAAAACAACAAGTCCCCTGGCTAATATGAGTAACTAATGAACTAGGTGATAAAGCAGTCAAAAACGAAAGATGAAAGCAAAGGGTAGATCTATAGCTTATCTTATTGTAATTGACTATATCAAAGTTGATTAAGGCGTTGGTAGCTATGTAAGAGGGAAAGTACTTACAGAATTGAGGATATGATGTTTAAGAGCATAATGAAATTGTTCACTGATTGTTCACTTGGATAGTAACCAGTTTCATGTTGTCCAGTGCCAAAAGTTGATCGAATTATATGGGTCACATCTGTAAGGTGGTCAAGCAAGCTAGAAGATTCATCACATCACCACACTTTGATTAGGGTTAGCCTATTGGAGAGAACCGGAAGAAAGTCCTAGGTCTACTTTATGTACTGACTAGCATTCATAGAAATTCAGTTGCAGCTCGAATAGCTTAGTGGTAACGTTTCTAAATACAAGTTTGTAAATTAAGCAATGAGTCATACCCATTGTGTGATCATTGATAATACTACCTCACTGCGCAAATCTTCGTACGTGGATGGGATTTAATTGGCAATCTACTCATACACCGTGTAATCACAATATCTGAAAGCTAATATCCCAAGACAGGAAAAAAAGTACCATGATGATCAAGTTAGTAAAATGTACTCCACAAAAAGTAATATCTCAATCACAGGTCTATATTTTATCATACGGATGTCTCACCTTAACATTGTAGACATCTTTAAAATCTAGAATTGCTCTTGCCATAACTAAAGAGACCGGAAGAGTTGCATTCACTGTCTCTTTTCCAGTAGATGTTTTAATAAAATCAGCTCCTGCTAGCATACAAACCATTGAAGCCTTATAGACATTATCATAGCTGCCTAATTCACCTGTAGCAAGAATAGTTTTTAAATGTGCTTGATTTCCACATGCTTCACGCATTGCACATACTTCATCATAAACTCCTGGAATAGAAAATGAAAAAAAGGCATAACTGATTATGAAAAGAACAATTACCATATGAACACAAAATCAAGTTAAATACGACTAAGAGTTATTGCCTGCATACTAATCAGATGACTTATGAATTTGCTCGTAATAACGGGAAGACTAAACATACTACATGCACTAAATATGCCAAGCAGTAAATATAAACAAACTAATAATATGCATATTGTTAAATTCAATATTGACTGGTTGAAAAATTAACGAGAAAAAAGTAGTAACTGATGGTATTGCATAATATTCATATATACTTTGCAAAATCCTTTGAGTATGTAACCCAGTAGTATTTCGACACAGCCACGTAAACAACTTACGCTTCAGTTAACAATAACATCAGTTTTACTTGAATTAGTCAATTTTAAAAACTCAACCAATCAAGACATATCAAGTAGTTCTAAATAAGGTAACTCATAATGTAGTGGGCGCTGCTGATCAAAATGGATATAAGTAGTATATGTTGAGAGAGGGAGGCAGAAATCATAGAGAATCACCAGCAGTACGTAAAGATTCTGCCCAGAGAAACACAAGAGACAAGGTGGACGTATTAAGAGTAAATCGAGATAGAAGCAGAAGAGGAAATAAGGCACATTGTGAAAATGACTATTTTAGTAGAAAGTCTACAGTATTTCATCACTACATAAAAGATGTCAATAATAAACATTCTTTCCTGCGTCTCATTCTTGTCATTTCTTACAATAGGAACAGAGATTCAAATGCAATTCACCCAAACAACAACTAGAATCTATTGTTAGCTAGCTCTATTATATAATGACTTATTTTACACTGTTACATCCACACTTTTGCGCTGTGTCTGCTAGTAACATCCAGTGTATGATCATTTACACGAAAAGGATGATTGCACTACTTTATATACCCCAATTTCCACTTCAGACGCTTGCTTACCCTCTGCATTCGAAGTGAGTTCAAGTGAAGCCATTTGATATTAATGATACAGGAATATCAAATATTATTTTATGCTTTTTTCATGAAATCTATAGTTTGAAAATCACAGGATGGGAAAGTTTTGAATGTTTGATAAAACAGTACTGTAAAGCGAAGATTATTATTTATAGGTTTTAGAGATAAAATCAGTGTTGGACAGAAAAGACACCTACGACTTTACAGCTTTAGTCACAAATACTCTAGATATTGACCTGCACTCTAATGGTTCGTAAGCTTACTCAATCAATGATACACAATTTCTGTTTTCATGTCTCACTTTATTTTACTGTACATTCACCTCAAGGCTTTGTACATAGGAGTATATAACCATTCCACATGGTTAAGGAATTTTTATCTACCCTTTGTAATAAGAGAGAATTTGAAGACAAGAGAAGTCTTCACAACAATCTCGAACAACAACCGAACATACTACTGCTTACCTTGCCAATCGCCTTGTATGGCCAATGTTCGATTAATCACTATATCGATTTCATTAGCTCCATCACTGATAGCTGACTTTATTTCCATTAAGCGTGTTTCTAATGGATACTGTCCAGAAGGAAAGCCAGTAGCAACTACATATTTTAAGGGTAACTAGTCATAAGAAAATCAAAATCTACCTGAAGCAATGTTAAAATTCGGCAATCTTAACTTTTCAAAAGTTTTTGTACACGTCTTAACTTGGTATGGGTAAACACATACAGCAGCTGTTCCTAATATTAACAAAAGTAAGACGATTAAAAAAAATTCTTAATACTTAAATTTTGCAGATCCAAATTGTATACATTTTCAATTTTCCGCAGAACACATTCACTTAATGGATAAGCTGCTTTTACACAAAGTCTATGTACATTGACAGGTGTATCGTCGCCTGCTAATGTGGTTAAATCGATCAGGCAAATAGCTTTCAATAACCACTCGACCTACAAGGAAAAAAAATGAATAAAACATTGCTCAATGCAAACAGTGTAAAAACGTTTGTACTACTTACTTCAATATTTGAGGGTAGTTTAATATTAGTCAACTCCTTAGCTAATTGTATCACATTGGAAGCTTCTACACGATCATATGTTAGCAAAGATCCATCTAAATTAGTTGTTAGAAAGTCTCTCTTATTAGAAATATGATTACCATATGATTGAATTTTGTTAGTAATCATTCCTAAAACAAAAATAAACAACTCTATATTATTAAATACTTATCAAACTAGAAGTGTAAACATCAGAATGATAAAAAATAACAATAAAAAAAAACATGAATTAAAGCACTCACCTTTTATGCATTTTTATACTTACAATAACAGTTAACCCTTTCACAAAAAACTTCAAGTAACCTAGCTTGAATGGAACACATATACTGATTAATCCTTTAAAGATGGTAATGAAAGTATTGTACACATCCAATGTTCTTGTTTGATAGACCAATCTACTCGTCATAAAAAGTAATTTTTGGCTGACAAGAAGACTGCAGTGTTCATACAGTAAAAAGAGTTTTGTAACTTTTTACGGAGATTTCCGTCATCAATTCCAAGCATTGATACTAATTGCATTATCAACATTCTCCCTGAAAAGAAAGGTACTCAAAATGACAGCTGAGTCAGACTACACCATGAGATATATTTCGGCTTCACAAATGCTACATATAGATCGTTTTGTAAGCCAAAATGCACACTGTGTATTATTTACCACTCAACTAAATTTTCTATAATCTATTTCATTTTCCTTTGAGAGTTTGCAAAGAGCAGACCAAACTCAAAATAAATTACTAAAAAAGGAATAAATGTTGATATCCAGTTAACAAGATAAGTAGATAAAAATGGATATTAAGAATACAATATAGTGGTATAATTTCGTAATTCCAAAAGGAACAGTTAAAGAATAGGTCGTACCATACTGTGAACTGACAAAGTATGAAATATGGACCATTGGATGCCGACCCAGTGGCTCAATGGTAACGTGCCGGCCACGGCACCTGAAAGTTCTGGGTTCGACTGCTGGCGGAGTTATGAGTGCGCACTGCTGAGGAGCCCCATACTAGGACGAAACAGCTGGTCAGTCCTCCCAAGTTTCCAACGTTTCTTCAACTGATGTCATTTCATGATTAATTTCAACCTAAAATCAATTAATAAACCTACACAAACCACCGGATAGAAATATTTAGGAAAACAAACAGATCCTGCGACAAAAATGTATCGGAAAAGATCAATTTCAGTAGAGCTCATTAAATTCTAATCATATTTCAGATGCCGAAAAGTTTACCACCTCGACGATATAATTGACTCAAACTCTACAACCGTACTTAAAATCTTGGGTAACAAGTAAGAGTTAGCAAATAATAGGTCAAGATTACATCGTTAACATAATACTAGGCAGAAGAGATGACGATTAAGTGTAGATACGGAAAAGGTTACTTAACAGTTTGTCAAAGGAAGACAGTAGTGTAAAAAAAACATTAAGGATAAGCCACCATAAAAATAAATTTTGATATCATCCTAGATAGTTCGCAAAATTAATAAAAACATTTTTCTGAACGTTTCGCTGTTTAAGCGGCAGCCTCTTTAGCGGATGATATGGAAACTTATTTCTATGATTAAATAAGACTCGGTAGTCAGATTCCTTCAGAATAGTCCTATCAATGGTTTAGACAATTATAAAGTATGATGGTAAATTGAAAGATGAAAATGAAGTAAAGAAAGAAACGGGGACTTTTATGATACTTGTAATTTCCCGTTGCTATACACGGCCTATATTGGTAGATGGGCTCCTATGCTCCAGAGATGGCTACCGTGCCCCAGTGGGTTCGTGAATTTGGCGTTTGAAGCTACAGGTATTAGGTGCGAGTCTCAATGGGAACAACATTACTCACTGGGGTACAGGTAGACCTAAATAGGATAGAACGCGCATCCTGGATTCCTCTGCTAGTCGCCAAGATCATTTTAACGTAAAGAAACAGGAACTACAGTGAAAGCGATAATGGAGATCTAAATAAACCAAGACGAAAGAGCTTAAGATCATAGCGAAGTCTTAGATTAAGAATATTTCTGTGTACGGTGAATCGACAATATTTCCATTAGGTACGAGTTGTAAAATTACAGGCCATTCGGTTTGAATTTCCGGGCAACTGTAAAAGACTATTAAGATAAAGCTCCATGGAAATTATAGAACTACTAATGGTTCGTACTCTCGTCTTGACAACTACACAGCATAATTAATGATTGATAGTGGCTAACAGTGGAATCCAGGAACGGGTCTTGTACCATCTAAGTAGTATGATGCTTTAAAAAGGTTTGGACAACTAAGTTTTCAAGAGGCATTAAATTCATAGGCACACACTAGGGCAACTCAAAGTAAAACCTTGTCATTATTGATGCATCTACGTATCAACTGTTGACTAAAGAAGGCAATCTAAATCTCAACACAAAAATACTTTTCTTACAAAATCTAGATAATCGGTTATTAGGAATTCTTTACTCCATATCACCTTCGAAGTCGATATTCACAAATAAGGCTTTCTCTGAAACCTTAAGAAATCATTTGACACATTGTCTCAGTTCCAATTTTTTTTCTCGACAAATCTACAGAGGTAACCATTTTGAATGAGTACCACATGGATTCTGTCCAGTTCACCAATCATGTCTTCTGTGCACGTGTCTGATTCTCAAAAAATGGACTGGAGTTGTTTTTAGTGATTGTGAACAAGACTTTACAGCTTCAGTGAACGATACAATCGGAAAAGCGACCTCTTTCTTCCTTCCACTATTTCCTATATTCGTTATAACTGAATTCTGTATTCAATTATCTTTAGCTGAGATTGCCAGCAAAAAGGTTAGGGCTTCGACTAAATACAGAGTTACTGGTGTGATACATGCTGAAACTTTTCAAAATGATAAAGAACATTTGTAGCTCAGCAGGATAATTTTGATGGCGTTGTGTTCGCTAAGCTGGATCGGTTAAACAGTCCAACTTCAAAATCTGCAATCCCAAGTAATTTGATTCCAATAAACAACTAGATCAGGCAGATACCAAAGCGACAGTTGATTTCAAGCATGAGTTTAATTCATATAACCGAAGTAGACGCCAATGAAACACAAGACTCGCAGGCAATGCTAATCACAAAAGCCAAGACAGTGTTAAAAGTGAAGGAATTTGAACTCTCAGTGCTGCCTTGATGCATTATTTTGTTACAGTGCTGAAAGAATAAGGGAGTTAAGACATTTCAACATTCACGCTTAACGACATATTATTAAATATAATTTTCTTCAAGAACAAAATGCTATACCAGAACATCAGTCATCCTTCAGAGTAATAAAATCCTAGTCAGCATTTACAGGAAAATGGACTTGAGAGTAGGACGAGTGGTCGCTAAGCGTTATATTACAACTCCTCTAGAACGGACTGCACTAACTAAACTGTCTCAGCATCCATGTGCACAACCATGCAAAGATGGTAGTTTGCGTTCTCTAAGCTTTGATATTCAGTCATTAACGTTTCATTAGTAGGCTTGCCGACATCCTCAACACTAACTTTACAAAGAAGTGAAACATATCTGAATGATGCACAAATGTTGAGATACTGTTTTAGTTGACCTTAAGTGCTGCTCAAATGTAAGTTGGGAAAAAGATTTTCAACACACCTTGGCTTTTTCGATCATTTGGTCACGCTGGTACAGAACCGTTGTTACAGTGAAATTGTGCCATTTGTTACTGTCACACTACTCTACATTATTGATTTGTTTGGGCAGTTTCCACTTGATTTCCGGACGGCTGTTTTCTTGATTAGATTGTAAACTGTGTCACACACACCTACTGTGTGAAGGCCAACGATACTAACCGGAGGCCCGAACCCCATCAAGTGAAGCAAGAACTGAACGTGTGACCCACAAGTTGGAAATCGAGGTACTACACCAATCAGCCACATATTTAGTATTCCAAACAATATACCATTTTGCAGTTTGCTGACAGTCGGTAATATCATTTAACTTCAGTCTTAGTTATTCACGGCACCTTTAAACTAATCGCAACTACGAAGGAACTTAGAAGATGGCATTATATCTAATCACTGGACGTGATCACCCATGAAAGTAGGCCTTCATCAAAAAATTAGAAACAACAGTTTCTGTCAGCGACTCGGATGGTCTGACTTCAAACCTTCAAAATACAGCTGAGTCTACATAACAACTACCGAGATGAGGTGACGGAAAAATACTGGGCTGTGAACTCGTCTTAACTCGTAGGATACAAGTTAGAAACTGTCTCTATAAGCCCACGATATTGTAGCTATCGACGCTAAACACTGGAAGTACTGTCCCCACACCGCCGAACGACATAGAAGTTAAGATTGGGAAGGTAAGATTTACAGCACTAAGAAAAAAAAATACCTGAAAGCATAGCTATTTTCGTGAACTAATAGTTGTCAGGTTTGATATAAAATAACTGTCCACTCAAACACTGGTCATTAGTAAAGTGATAAAATGCCAATAACACATCTTTGACCTAGGTTAATAATAGACCAATGAAATAATAATAGTAGTGCTTTGAGTAAAGTTAATGGTAGATCAAAAAGGTGAAAATGACACCACCTTTAATCAAGGTTAAGAAGGAATATTCAGAACAGTTTACAAAGAAAACATTGACCAGTCAGCTGTGTATCTGTCTGATTCAGCTTCTTTACTACCATACAGCTGCAAGACGTAACCGTAAGGTGTAGATGATATTGGTATGCTGCATGTCTTCAATCATCTACGTCTCCGAAGCACCATCATCGTCATCCAACAGCATATGACCAGGAATTACTGAGTAATGGTCCGAGTTGCCACACCTCATATCAATGCATCAAGTAAAAAGGCAGTGAAGTGGAAGATGAAGAAATGGAAATTCATTCAGAAGAAACATAAAGTACGATAAGGGAGAAAGGAAGAATGAGAAAGTGCTGAGATTCGGTATAGCGTCGTTAAGATGAGGATAATGTATGTATACATCTGCGCCACTCACATCGGTTCTGAGCAATATCATCTAGAGTCTCCAATTACTGGTTCCTCTTGTCCTGCAGACCCAAACCGGCTAGTCTGCATTGCCACACATGACTCAAACCAATAGTCAAAGACTTCATACATTGATGCCATGTTTTAGTCTGGCCGCCTCGGGCCTTTTGAGAGTTTGAACCTACTTCAACTAACATTGTGTGATGAGGCGATCGGCGACTAGGCATACGCAACACGTGCCGCAACCATCTCAGTAGATGAAGGTTCACAACCTCGTCAACCGACTTACCTCTTCTACCTAGAACTCTACACCTGACTTCTGCGTTATTCACGTGGTGACACCACGGAATACAGCCTACACTACGAAGGCAACGGTGGTCAAACACCTGAAGCCTTCTCATATCTTCCACCTTCAATGGTCATGTTTCACAGTCATACAGTAAAACAGAGAGGACTGTTGTGCAGTACACGTGACCCTTAAAAGACAATCGGATAAAACGGCGGCGCCACAGGTGGCGTAAGTTGGCAAAAGCCAGTAGAGCCTTTTGTATACGAGCAAAGATTTCATCTGCCACTGAGCGACCAGAGCTGATCTCAATTCCCAGGACAAGTGAAGTGGTCAGTACACTCAACCACCACACTCTCTATTGTTAGCCGAGGTACCGAACACCAATCTAGGGGCGAAAATTTGCATTTGGGTGGTGAAAACCACTAGTCGTGCAGTTTTAAATAAATTAATACACAACATCAATGTTAGGCTAAGGGTTTTAGCTGATAAAAACAAATGCACTGACTGATAAAATCAACGTAGAAACTTGCACACAGGTGAATCGGCTAAGTTATCACACTTCATAGTACCACACAAACAGGTGGATAGGAAAAATAGTGGTATCAAAGTACACAAAGATGCGCTAAAGAATAAACAATTTGAGGATAATGGTTAGTGCAAATATTCAAGGCACAGATGTAAAGGAGTGAATATATCTGCACCACAGTGAAAGATTTCCAACTATGTGACTAACAGTCCTCAACCATTGATTTGTTTCGTCTTGAGGATCACAACCAGCAAGTCTACAACTCCCCATACGGCTCAGATCAACAGTCACAGACTTCATCAACTGGTGCCACCTCTTGGTCTCGTTATCCTGAACTCTCTTTCAACCTGACTCAACTTCCTCTGCCATGGCATATCGAGGTAGGGAGAGGCTCGGCATGCGCAATACATGTCCATGACATCTCAGTCAACTAACGTTCACAACCTCAACGATCAACTTAGCTGTCTTGCCTGGTACCCCTAGCCTGACCTAGTTATTGCCCACACGGTGATTCTACCAAACAAGAGAAATGCTACAAAGATATCTGTGGTCAAATCCCTGCAACCGCTTCATCCCTTCTACTTTTAACACCCACGTCCCAGAGTCATATAACAGGACAGAACGAACAGCAGCACAGTATGATCCTCCCTTGATAGTCAGATACCTCGTCAGTCGGCCACACAGATGACATAATTTGGAAAATGCCAAATGAGCTTTCTGTATCCGAGATGAAATTTCACCAGTAATCAGACTGTTTGAGTTGATACAAGTAAGTGGAGTGATCGACACATTCCAACACCACTCTTTATCATCAAAGTTGGGGTATCCATGCATAACCACCAGTTGTACCTTCAGACTGACTAAATGTGTGGTTTGAAAAAGGTATGCCACTAACTCATGAAATAATGTGTTCTTTACTTCAGGCAGTGTGTTTTCAAATAACAGGCCTCCATTGCCAGTGACACTTAGGATCATGGATGTATGATGTGTCTGTAACGCACATGCACAACCCAAATGCAGTTATTCACTTGACCCTATCTAGGTAGTATAGTGAATTCGCAAAACCCACCTTACCGATATCTGGACGTTTGATGGTAATTCCGCAAGTACTCCTTGTTGCAACAACAACATTAGATTCTAGAACCGATAGCCCACTGCTCAACTGTCGGTATTCCATTCAACTCAGCAGTTGCGTAAGAACAAGGAATAACTGTGACACTTGTCTATGACTGTATGTTACCACCTCCAATGCATCCACTGGAGCCTGGGGTAGGACAACTGGGAAATAGCTAAGAGTGGTTAGGCTAAGATGTGAATACTGCAGATGGAGTCTCTGACTATTGGTTTGAGTCATGTAACTAGTTGTAGTGTGTTCAGAGTGAGTTTTTCTCTGAGCTAGAGTTTTAGTTGTCACAATTTCTAAATTATCTCGGCGCCAAGAGCTTCTAAATGCTCAACGATGGGAGACTTTCACCGGAAGAAACGCTTCCATTTGAGAACTAATATTTTTTCAGAACCGTAAGTTGGAGAACAACTCACTCAGAACATCCATACATTGAGCTACAAATATCCACCACAACGTCCAACAAAAAATGTCAACAAAAAACCTTTGACCACAGTTAATAATGGACCAATAAAGTACCATTGACATTGTCTGGTCAAGTTTTACGGCGAACAATCAGACCATATTTGGCATGGATGACATTAACCAGACAACCGTCTCGTTATTTGTTTTAATATGACAGTATTGAGTTTCATTTCAGTGAGACAAAAGACACTTATGACACTCCTAGGAACGTCGTAGATTCTAAATATACTGAAAGAATCAATGCACACATTCGATCCTAAGAAGTCACGTCCATTCCACACAAATCTGCGAGTGCATACGAATAAAGCTTGTGAAGAATCCGTTTAAATAGTTCAGACAGTCAACTTATTGAGGGACTCACATTCACCTTGCCTCCTCACAATTCATTTTTCCAGTAGTAAAGGAAGAGGAAATCTCAAAATTACCAAAAAACCCATCACTGCATCACTTCGACTATTCACCAACTAAGGACATACATGCGACTAATTGTCAGGCAATTCGCAAGTCCGAAGATGCGCTAGTAATTACTTGGTATTTATCAGGGATTTTTTCAATTAATTTTTACGAGGTTCGTGGACACCTCATTGTAGGATCAGAAAGTGTTTTTAAAGGATGAATTACGAGGCGTCATTCGGAACATACAGACACAACCAAATCATTCTTTTTTGAAGGATAATATTTAGAGTCCAGAAACACGAAGCTCTGTTGCATTAAAAGTCAGTTTCTTAAAATTTAACCTGATTAACTTCAATTACAGTTCGTTGGAGATTATTTTTTGTGTGCAACACAACGACGTTTCGGCTTCATTGCGCTTAATTACTCCAAAGACCTAATGTTTCAATGGATCAGAAAGTTGTTTTACCTACTGAGTGCTAGCGTCACTTTCCAAAAGCAAGTAAATGGTGCTATAGGGCAATGCGTCATTTCCCCGTGGAGGACGGTACATGGTGCGATAAATGTATTAGATGATATCACAAGGAGTGTAATAACCCAACTTAAGCTGCATATGAGTGTTTTTAAAAAGCTTCAGACCTACTTACTATGGAGAGACAGTTGTATTAACCAGTGAAGTTTAATAAGACAGGCTACATAAGTGCTTGTATGCAGCAGAAAGTTCCTGGAGATAAATATACATTCCCGAGAATGGTAACACTAGGAATACAGTGATGATACTGTCACTTTGACTGTGAGACCAATCAGGCTCAAAAGATTAATCACTTGATGATGCGGACAATTATTCTGAGAGTCGATTCCGAGAGTACATTACTCTTCACGACAACTTTGACTCTAAGGCACCAATGTTTGTCCCTGTATCTTGCACTACTCTGCTACGTTCTCTGAGTTGGATTTTTTTGAAGCATGGTTTCTGTTACACCCTATCCCTTAGGGTTGTCACGGTGGCTCCAGCTTTCTACAAAGGCAACAAGAGTACTGATTAGCCTACCATCTGTAAGACTCGAAGAATCTGCTGCTACCAAGGTTTTATTTGTATGTAAATCAAAATGGGGAAATAAAGGGGATGAATGGTGAAATAATGCGGCAATCCATTATAATAGATACTTCAACTAAAACATTAACATGATGAATTGTATTGAATCCAATAAATATTAATATGCATCGAAGCTTCCAACATATTACACCTACTTGATGGTTTGTTGCTTCCCTAAAAGTTCTAGTTGAAGTATCTATTATAATGGAATGCACCATTATTGAATAAATAGGGGATCCCCTATTTTCGCTGGCCCAACCCAGTCAAACACGAGTGCTTAAATAATGCATGTGAATGCTGAAATAGGGTGGGTCAATGCATTGCATAGGAATGAGGAAATAATAATGCTGAAATGCGACAATTAAGCGGACTTTTTACGGACTACCCGCATAATTTGCGCATTTGCAGAATAATTTCAGCGTGCATGCGTAAATCCCGCATCATTTCCGCACTATTTCCGCAGTGCAGGGATAAAAATTTTCGAAAATTCCTACCCCTCACCTATCGATCGGAGTATTCTGGCTATTCACCCAATTATTTAAGCAATGATCGCTTTATTTACGTTAAATACCAGCCTTATTTCCACACTATTTTAGCGCTGACCGCTTTATTAACGCATCATTACGGCCTAAACTAGCTTGGGCAGTATAAGATAGGAATTCTTTCCATTTAAATGATGGGACTTGATAATGAGAATTAGAACGAACAGTCAACATTGTGTGGCACACATGTGTAGCTCACACCAAGCTACCACTTGGCCTTATTTATGGACGTCAATAAGTTGACGTAGCCTAGTGTCGGCTGAGCGTTTCTCATTCATCAAATTCTGCAAAAGAAATAAGAAACAAGCAGAATTATCAAATGCACTAAAATTGCATTCTATTGCGCGATTCCTCGCGAACTAACCCAAAATATTACTAACAAACCTAAAGACTTTAAAATGTCGGACAATTCAAGGTCACTAATTGAGTGGCTCAAGGACGGTGGCTTCTATTCAAGAAGACTGAACAATCTGAAGGAAGGCTTCGTAAAAGCAATGCCGCAACGTATGTGAACAGTGCACGCAAAATCTGGCATAAAATCAGCTATTTCTCCCTCAGTTTCTCACATAATATTCAAGTTACACTGCTATTCATAGAATTCAAGTATCCGGTATTGTTTCGAGAGCTAGTTTAAGCCAATTGATTTCTTCACTCTAGCTTCTAGAGCTTGCAGCACAGTGCTAGGTCTCTAGTGAATTCCGAAGCATACACCACCAGCTTGGTGTAGCTGTGGTTAGCCCGACGAGTGGTTGGGTGTTAGTGAGGTTTGCAGGGATTCTATGATTTGTCTAAGGACTCTAGTGCAATGCGTTCCTTAAATGCCATATCACTAAACAATTGTTCAGACTGGCTGCAAAAAGAGAGGTAGGGAGAAAAGATGACCACCAAAACCAGGGGGAGGAAGTGTGAAATAACGTAGCGAAAAAGAAACGGAACGGAAGGAGGAGCCTAGGTAGGATCAGAGGGTGAGAGAGTGATTAGGGGAAGCTCGATAAACAGGGTTTGGTCATAGGGCCAGAAGGAATAGCAGGAGCAAGCAAGATTACAAACCGTTTATGGGGACACAAATGCGGTTCAAATGTTTGTTGACGAAATAGAAGGAGCTTTCGCTTAACTGGCTTCCGCGTCTAAAATCCGTGTATCACCACTTCTTGTGGTGCAAGTCAGGAGAGAGGAAAAGGTGGCGGTTAAAATGCAAAAATGTAACTAATTCTGAGCGTACTCCCGACATATGTCAACAATTGTCCACCCGGGACTTGCAGGATTCAGAAGAAGTAACCTGGATCAAGTCTGTAGGAAGGGCAGTCCAGGGTTTAACGACTCTTAGGGAACAGAAGTTGTACCTGATATCTAGTCTTCAATGTTACAGGCTTAGTTTCTATATGAGTCTTCCAAAACTGTTGCTACGGCTAAGATTCAATGGGTAATGGAGTGGGTGTCCAGGGTTGCTGAGGATGTTGTGAGTCACTATCAAGGCTCCTTTTATCTTTATGTATTCCAGGGGATAGGCATCCAGAGCCGCCAGTCATCCTTCGTATGTTTAAAACCTAAGTCCTTGAACGGATTTGGTCAAGTGCCTCTGGATGAATTCTAAGCTTAATTTGTCCTCCTGCTGAGTACGGGGTAAGACGATGGTGCCGGACTGTAGGTAAGGCGCATGAGGCTGTTGAAATTTTGATGGAAACACCTACTATCGAATTATACGTAAATTTACCCAAGAGTTACCAACGCCAAGTTTCAGGGGAATGCGTTTCTATCATAGTTGGCATGAGATATTGAGTCTTGACTGAAAAAAACCTATCAAATCCTTCTCCGTCAGCAGGTGGCTTCCTAGAAATGACTTCTGTCAGGCTGCATGCTGACTTCCGGTGCCAAGCGTGTTCTAATCGCGCAGATTACTTCCGTCGTGGATGCTGCTATTTGAGAGACTAGAAAGGCCACTTTGATTGGCCTTAGTCTGGGGCCATCATCCTTTTTGGACATCTGTGAAACGCTTTGTGTTATTACCCCCTTGAGGTTCACAGCATTCTTAAGGAACTTTCAGTTGTGAGAATTGTAGCGGATATCCTCGGTGTCTCAGTTTTAAGCTATGCCCTGTATTATCAGGTTCCTTCCTCTAAAGCAACCCCCACAACCGTTGCTCCAGCGTTTCTTCACAGCCATTCTCTCAGCGTGCGGGACATGCGATAGCATCTTTACTTCCCTTCTAGCGTTAAGCACTTGAGATGCTAAGGGCACATCTTCGACATAATCTGAGTACAAGAAAGTGAGCCTCAGGTGTCGGGGCTTGTCCCTAGTTATTGGACTGCCACCGTATGAGAGCCCGTTTACAGCTACTGGCTTAGTGTGGTCCAGCTTAAGTCTTCTATATGTGTTCTCTCACAGAACCCTATCATTTTTATGCCGAAGGCTGTATAGTAGTTCAGAGCTATCTCTCAGGTTCATGATGACCAAAAAATCATTCGCGACAATGGTTTTTCTGTCAGCTCTTGATGTTTGTGTGTTTTTTGTTAAACTTTCTTTTTCTCTTCAAGCAGGCCCTCTTCCGTGGGTAACTCATCTGCTTGTTTAACAAGTTTGTGAGCAATCCGCTTGTGCTGTTTTCCACTCAATCCCCCTGCAGATTCAGTTCTAGCCTTCACACATTCCAGGTTTCCCTATTTGGGCTTGTTACCCGCTCTTCCAGACTTGCAAGACCCGATGAGTTCGACAAAAAACATGCGTTAGACCCTTGTTAGAATACTGTTCGTTTACCTCAAGGAGCATTCGTACAGACAACAAACTTAGGATTGAAAGTCCAGAAGTACTTTACATCTAGGCTTTTTGGTTACGAATGTGACCAAGATTATGCTTCTCAGTGCACGTCCCCCAAGCTTCAACCACTTTCGATGACACATCTTGATAGTGACCTCATATTTTTCTTCAGGATCTTACATTAAACATCCTCTACAGCTAGTGAGGAAATCCGTCTCACGCCAGAAAGTTGCTGCAGTCTTCGAAATCAAGCCTGCACTGCTGAGAAGAAAGCTTTTAGGACATCCGTCCGAGCTGGCTTTTACTCGATTAGGCACTGGAAAATATGGAGCCATCTTCCTGTTGATATCAGAGCTTCCAGCTCGACTATCCAGTTCGGCCGCATTTTAGAAAGATTCTTATCCTCCTGCAAACTTCCGAACATACTGAGCGAATTGTAAATATGTCCCACAACGCTCAGTATGATGGGCTGCTTAAATATATGAGGTGTCGTACCCTGACCGGTAAATCCACACACTTCCCATCACATCCCACGGACCAGGTTACAACAGTCAGGACTGGTTCGCTAATTAAGTCGCTCAACTATGCCTCCCACTTATTACCATCACCGATTCAGACATCCTCAGATATAGCCCCTCAAAAAGGCATTAATAAAACTCAGTGAATGGCACGTTTTAAGTTGGTATATGCATACGAAGCCTAAGGCTATACATGTATCAGTAGGCATGACACTGTAGTGCACCTTCCTGGCACCAAAATATAACTAGGGCTAAAATAAATAGTTTAAATTAAATTAACTAAATAAATCTCTAGCTTGCCTCCGGATGCTTAGGGTGTTTTAAGTTTTGTTTTAACGAGCATGCATCCGAGCAGGCTTGGACGCCATTTTTGCGCTCCATTGTGCTGATCACCACGCACGTACTCCGAGTCCCTAGTTCAGCCTTACAAGCCAGATAAGTTGATTAAACTTTTCCCTCATTCATTATTATTACATTTACCTTAAATACATAGCTCCTTTAAATACATTGCGTATCAGTTCTTTTGATTTGTGTTTTGTTACCAGTACTTACACGTTAGGTAAAGTACTGGTTAAGCAGGTACTAGAGCACATCAAATTAAGTAGGGTTGATCAAACGTTACGGAATTGTAACACGCATCCCTACAAAAATTGGTGAGCCCGAGTATCACTTCTTACTTTGTCTAGTACCTTTGTTCTCTTGCGTTGATTTGTCTGGCTTATTTTTGTTTTTGGCACGTCTAGTGTTTTTTTTTATTATTGCACTCCTCATTGGTTATTTTTGCATTGTAATTTTTTTATTATCACTATCGTGCCTCGTTAATTCCCTGATCAATGGCGGATAACGACTCGACTGCGCAGATGGCCGTAACCCTCCAGCTTCCCACCTTCTGGGCCCACAGACCATCTGCATGGTTCTCCCATGTGGAAGCTCAGTTTGCCTTGAGACACATTCAATCACAAGAAACTAAGTCCAACTTAGTCATCGTCAGCTTACCGGAAAATGTGATCGAAGACGTCTCAGATGTGCTAGATGACCCAGCACCGAATCTTTACGATCGCCTCAAAACCGCCCTCATCAAACGTGTTGCACTTACTGACCAGCAGAAAGTGCAAGAACTTTTCAGGGATGTGCATCTGGGTGATCGCAAGCCGACGCAACTGCTTCGTCAGATGAAGCAGCTGATTGCTGACTTCAACATTGATGAAGCATTTCTCAAGCAACTGTGGTTACAGAGGTTACCACAGTCGGTTCAAGGGATCCTCGCACCCTTCCATAAGTGTCCCTTAATAGAGTTGGCGGAAGCGGCTGACAGAGCTGTGGATGCTACGAAACCCAACACTAGTATCTCAGCTGCACTGTCTACTGCCACGGATTCGTTCAAAACCCACATCCTCCTCGGCTGTTGAGCCAACAAGTTTCGATGTTAAGCTCACATCTCGAAATTGTATGGAGTTGTGCAGCATCAGGAACGAAATGCGGTCTGGTAGTTCTTCCAACGGTCGCAGGTCTCGCTCGCGCAACAGGTCTGCCTCCCGTACCGTAGCAGACGTTCCAAATCGCGACAATCCCAACCCAGGTTGTGCTGGTACCATAAACGTTATGGTGCCAATGCCAAAAGGTGCACTCGACCTTGCACCTTCGAGGCTAACCAGGCGGGAAACGTGTGAGCCAGCACGTGACGGCGACTAACGTCGCTGGCGAGCCACTTCCATGTCGCCTCTTCTTCGTCACTGATCGACATTCTGGGATACGCTTCCTAGTTGACACTGGGGCAGAAGCTAGCGTCATCCCACCTACGAAGGAAGAGCGTCTGCGGCCAATGTCTCTGCAACTTCGTGCCGCCAACGGTTCGCCCATCACAACCTATGGTCGGAGATTCCTCGATCTCAACCTTGGATTGCGTCGTCCCTTTCGTTGGGTTTTCATAGTGGCAGATGTGACCACCGGCATTATTGGTATGGATCTCTTGCAGCACTATCAGCTGCTGGTAGATGCTGGCAAGCATAAGTTGATAGATTCTACCACAACACTCTCTGTTTCCGGTATAGTCACAAAGACGCCGCCCCTCAGTCCCGTGTACTGCACGACGGACGCTTCTAGTCCCTATGCGTCTATCATTCAGTCCTTTCC